AAAAAGGAGTCAGGGTAAAGGAGATATGCACAGAGGTAAAGCGAACAAAAGAGAGTGACCAGTGAAGGGGAATTGAATCCTCCAGAACTTCAAAGAAACCACCGCTGTTAGGGTTTTTGGCTAATGTTCCTAAAAGTTGACGGACTAGGAAATCTCAGATGGATATACCACACGTAGCTGCTCATCGTGATGGATGAGCCTCGTATTCAATCGCTAAAATGATTTGTTTCCTGCAACCACTCTGACCCCTCTCGCCATGGAAACCAGCTGCTTGATTGATCATGATGACGACCTAATCAGTGGTTGTCTCCAAGCCCCTCGCCCTAACTTGCTTACACACTAGTAATTCCTGGTTGTGAGCGATATATATGGGTGAGCTGGCCTGTGTCAGTGTCCTCGGGTTGTTATTTCAGCTCTCTGCTAGGCTGTGGTTGCACCCCTGCAACACAGTGAGGCATCCCTGTGATCCAGACCAGAGCAGCTTTATGTCACTTTGACTCCCCTGCGCAAGAACTATAGATTTGAACTCAACTTCAGGATAAAGTCCTGTTAGTGATTGCTTTAGCATGTCTTTTGTCCCCTGAAGGGCACACTGAGGTTGTATGAGGCACAATAAAGGATAGGCTGCTGTAATCCCTTTTACTTTCCATTTGCTTTTCTCCCGCAGGACGAGCCCTTTAGTTCCCACATGCCAGAGACACTCTTCAACATCTGCAGGTTCCTCCTGAGCAACCTCACCAAGAACATACCACCAGGCATTTCTAAAGTGTATCCTTCCATGGTGAATTAACATAGTTCTAGGTATCAAGCACATATTTTTAGAATCAAGTATTGTGGGGCCTGTCCTCTTTGGAAAACTCTCAAGAACAGACATGCCAATCTGAAATCAAGACTGGCACAGACAGCGAAGATAAAATGATGGAACAAACAGAGATAGAAATAGAAGGAAAGCGGAAGTGTTGGCGCCACAGCGGAAACCATGCTGCTGCTGAGAGAAAGAAATGGGATTGATGATGAGAAGAAGGAGAAGATGTCAGCAAGAGGCATTTTCTTCCATCGCCGAAACAAATGCTTTGATTACTTTGAGCGTTCTCAAACATACACAAACACACTAAACACGCTCCACAATGTGCTTTGATTTGGACAAATATACACACAGATCCACCAGCACACACACACAGCCACATCGACAAATCCATTTGGACTCGCACAGAGGAGGCAGAGCATGAGGAAGGAAAGTCCAGCCTTTGAGGAGGAAATGAGGTAGGGCTGCTGGAATCCTCTGAGGCCTAACGGAGGTGTTCCAAAAATCTTTGAACTTCGATTTATGGACTTAGCCGGGCTGTGTGAGACTTGTTGTGAACAATTAAACACATTGTCACGAAATAGCTGCACTGAACGAGTCATACAATAGGAGGATGTGCATTTATCAACAGTCCCAGTAGCGGAACAGAACTGAACTGGGTGTGTGGGAGGAGCTGGAGAGGGATGAGTGGAGAGGAGCAGTGTTAAGTTTTTAGGTGATGGAGGTATGCCAGCGTAGAGCTGTTGCAGCTGCAACTCATTGACCTGTCATTGCCACTCTCAGAGCTGTTCTCTTAACAATCTGTCTCTTTATAAATACAAATAAGCAACAATTTCCTCCTCTCAAACACAAAACAGGCACACAGGCCTGTATAAGCACACACACACACACACACAACCACCCACAAGCAGCCATAACAAGGTATTACTTCCAAGGCATGCAGCCAATGTTTGCTGGCTCAGCGTGGCTCTTGTTGTACTCATTAAGAGAAATGAGGCAATGTACAATTATGTCTATTAATAAATGCAAATTTCAATATTTTCCACATAAGATACATTTTGAGGATGACTAAAAACAAATAAAATCACTGTCCTAATTTCAACTATTTTAAGAATTCCAACTGTTCCTCTTGCAATTGTTTTTCTTGACCTGATAATAAGTAACACCTTGTATGCGTTGGCAAAGCAGAGTCGAAAACTGGGTGCCTATAAGCTTGCCAGGTATTCCTACGAGAAGCTCCAGGACCTGCACATTCCCTCCCGCTTCCAGGAGTCCATAGAGCTGGGAAGCCTCACCATCCGCTCCAAACCGTTTCACGACAGCGAGGTGTGTTGTTAGACTCGGATATACAAGCACGTAACTTAAATTGCCCTGAGTTATTCTTGCCCCCCTGTTCTTGATTGTGTATTTTTAACTTTCATGTTTTTCCTGCAGGACCTGATTGACGGCATGATGTGCTACCGCTGCTCCACCAACAATCCCCTGCTGCACAACCAAGGGAGCTCGTGCATCAACTGCAGGCAGCCTTTCATCTATTCTGCTTCATCATACGGTCAGTGACTCAAAAAAAAAAAAGATTGTGTGCATTACTTTGCTCAGAGAGGACTCTATTTGTGTTTTTAATGTGGCATATCTCCTCGTGTACAGAGGTGTTGCCTCTGGTGCAGTTCTACCTCGAGGAGGGCATCAGTGATGAAGAGGCTGTGTCACTGATTGACCTAGAAGTTCCTCAAACAGACGAGGGGGACGCACGCTGGCAGGACATGGACAATGGTGGTATCCTTAAGTCTTTACAAAAATGTTACTTCACACATGCATAAAAAAAACCACACACACACACACACACACACACACAGAAACTCATGATTCAAAAGCTTTTTATGAATTATTTACTGCTCACTCTGCTGCCCCTGTGAGTCTGAATCCCTGCCCTAACACACTGCATTTCAAAATGAACCATGTGACTCTCCTCTGCCCTGTGACAGTTCTAAGAAGCTGTTTAGTCTGTGTTGGCCTCGATTCTGGGCTGGTGGGTAAGCTGTCAGAGCTAAGTCATCTTAGTTCTCGAGCTAATAGGGTTAGCAAGGCTCTCCTGTCTCATCTTAATGACACTAACCCTCCGCGAGCCGTAGCCACAGCCCTGGTGCAGGGATTAACCTGCATTAGCTGGCAGACACTTACTCAAGGGCATTGAGGTCTGCTCTGTTCCTCCAGAGCCATCAAGTGACTGACAGGCACGACTGATTGGCACTCTTGCTTTTAGATTAGTCTCGGAGGGATAATTTTAGAATGGTGTTCCCAGTGTTGAAAATATAGAATTACAGAAAATGTGCATAAGGAGTAAATGTGATTGTAAGATGTGTGAAATATGTTGCTTGAGTTGTTTGTTCTTAATTACAACCAATCAGAGCCTCAGGCTTTGAGGATGGATGGTTTGGATGACTCAGAGGAAGATCCATTTACAGCCAAAATGAGCTTCGAGGTAAGAAAGGACAGAGGAGATGAGGCGATTAATATTCCACCAACTGGGCAAACCAGCTGGAGAGGGTAAAAAGGACAGGGTCCGTAATAGAATGTGTGTGTGTCCCAACAGCAGGGGGGTTCGAACTTTGTCCCAGTCAAGGTGAGTCGGCCCTCGCTGCGCTCCATGAGCAGGAGGGACGTGCTGATCAAACGCTGGCCCAGGCCGCTCAAGTGGGAATACTTCCGCTCCCTGCTGCCCGATGTGAGCATCACCATGTGCCCCACCTGCTTCAAGGTACAGCATTTATAAGACACACTGCTCATGTATCTCCCCCCCACATTATCCTTGTCTGTCTGTCTGTCTTCTCTGTACTTGTGTAAGTTACACCGTTGAAGCTGTTTTATTTCTGTCACAATACTTGTTAAATATAGATAACATTTCTTCTAATATATCTTTATTCCAGACTGTTCTAATTTTGCATTATTTGTGTTTCTTTGTAGATGTTCCATAGTGAGGATTATGAGCTCCTGGTGCTTCAACACAACTGTTGTCCATACTGTCGCAGACCCATTGATGAACCAAACTGATCCACTTAATCTCAGTGTCGTGTATTTTTTTTCAAAATGTACTTTTTGACATTTTACGATCTTGTCACTTGGATATACATAGATAGCTGTTAATCATCAAGTTAAAAGCACGGCGTTGTCCTTCAAGAAGGAGTCAGACTGAAGTAATAACTGTAGTGTGTGTATGTGTGTGTGTGTGTTTGTGTGTGTGTGTGTGTGTCGGTCATTATAGCGTGTGAGCAAACTGCACCATCAACCCAATTAGATGATCAGATTACTGGTGGCTGTCACTGATTACATCTTGTGTAGAGTTTTAAAAATATATATATAACTGTAATAATCTATTTATTTAAGATGAAATCTATTTGTTTAGGAAAGGAAGTTATAACTCAACCGCTATATCTGCCAACAAGTGTATTCCACAGGCTTATACAAAAACTCTACTGTGCTTTTCATTCCAGGAAAGGAAATGTCATCTTCTGTCCAGTCATGAGATTGTATTTTTATTTTGTTACGAAGCCTTTTCAATAAAATATTTTTGGTATACTTTATGACAGTGTTTCTCCTTAATGATGTTACAAAGGAAGCTTGAGTAATATAAACTTCTTACTCTTGCTGATTGAACTTTTTGTCCGTGAAGGAGAGAGCTGGAGGGGAGAGTGCATGCTACGAGTGCTATGCCCCACTGATTCTGATTACACTTTAAGCTATGAGTTGAGCACTGCATTATGCAGTGGTTGGGGATTAAGCTTTCACGGATGCAAATAAGTTGGACTGCTCAAGAAAAAATTCATTTGCGATTTAAAGCGTTAAAGAGTGGACAAACTACAAATAGGCTGCTTCCCTCTCTGCCTGCCCTCCCACTCTCATCTCGGTGTAATGATGCATTGATGAACACGACAGTTTAATGATGGGGTTCTGATAGCCAGCGCTGTAACCTCTCACCTTGGGAATGCTAAACATACTGCATTGCTATTTCTGGAGTTTTCTCCTGTAATGCTTTGTGAGTGTGTGTGTGTGTGAGAGAGAGAGAGAGAGAGACGGGGGGAGATTGAATGTCTTAATTCCATCTCTGCTAACACTTTGCTCCATGCACGTCCCTAATCCGGTCAGCCTGTTAAAAAGGTGCGGCACTACTTCAGGGGGCTGCAGAGCACTTCTTAGCACCACAAGACCCATCCCTCCAGGACAACCTGTTTCCCCCATTTGCACCCCAGCTGCCAGACAAGACTCGCTCACTGTGTTTTATTCTGGCGAGAGGCACAGTCTGTTTCATCCAGTGTCAAGGACAAAACATCAGCAGCTGCAGCAGCCATGAATGGCACAGAGGGACCCAACTTTTATGTCCCCATGTCTAACAAGACCGGCGTGGTTCGCAGCCCATTCGAGTACCCTCAGTACTACCTGGCTGAGCCCTGGAAGTACTCTCTTGTGGCTGCATACATGCTGTTCCTCATCATCACTGCCTTCCCTATCAACTTCCTCACCCTACATGTCACAGTGAAGCACAAAAAGCTGAGGACCCCTCTGAACTACGTCCTGCTCAATCTGGCTGTGGCCGACCTCTTCATGATCATCGGGGGGCTTCACCGTCACCCTGTACACAGCCCTGCATGGATACTTCAGCTTAGGGGTCACGGGATGCAATGTGGAAGGATTCTTTGCCACCTTAGGAGGTAAGATGTGGGGTTTTTTTCTTCTGTTTTCTTTAATTACCTTCCATGTGAAGTATTTCTGTTAGATTTTGTTAACTTAAAACCTGAAACAACCAGCCTACAAATCCTTAATTAAAAAAAAAAAAAAAAAGTGTTATATTGAATTTGAATGTATACCTGCTTTACTTGATGTCTTAGGAGAGATTGCTCTGTGGTCTCTGGTGGTTCTGGCTATTGAGCGCTACATTGTGGTCTGTAAACCAATGACCAACTTCCGCTTTGGGGATAAACATGCCATCACTGGTCTGGCATTCACATGGATGATGGCCCTGACCTGTGCTGCCCCCCCTCTGCTTGGATGGTCCAGGTACTTTATGTATCTATGTCTAGACCCTGCTGGCCAGGCTGTAAAATCAAACAAATACAGTTTTCATCATTTGAAAGCACAGTAGAGATTTCTTTTTTTTTCAAACTTACGTAAAGACAAACGTATTGTATCAAAACTCAAAGTGTGATGGTGTTGATGGAATTTCTGAGATTACTATTGTGTGTTGATGCAGGTACATCCCAGAGGGAATGCAGTGTTCCTGTGGAATTGACTACTACACTCCCAAGCCTGAGATCAACAACACCTCGTTTGTCATCTATATGTTTGTCCTCCATTTCTGCATCCCCCTCTTCATCATCTTCTTCTGCTACGGTCGCCTGCTCTGCACCGTGCGAGCGGTAAGACCACGACTGCCAGACATAATATTAATAATAAGAAGACAATACAGTGCATGTCCCAGTAGAGAAACTCTTTATTTTGATCCTTTTTTACCTGTCTCCCCTCCACAGGGAGGTGGAGCAGCATCACAGAGCAGAGTCTCTGGAGATGTGAGGGATTTAGTGGCTCAAGGACACTTTAGGAGGGCAGATCATTGCCAACATGGCGGCTTTATTCTCAGGTCCTCCAGCTGGAGGACAGTCTGCCTGCTCACTGAGATGCCCTCATTAATAATGATTAAACAGCATTGATAATGTATTAGCCATCATTAATAATAGCTAAGGAATATTACTGAGAATCACAATTTGAGAGGTTATAATTGGATTTTTAAATTTTTTTTTTACAATTAAACAAATGTGAAACAAAGTGTAGGGGCCACGTTAGGGGAGAAGTCTGAAATTTAAAGAAAGAAATCAATATGAGAATTAAGTTAGAATTTCATGATATAGATATTTTTTTAAGGGTGTTACTAGTATATGAAAACTAGTTTTTTAAATAGAATAAAGTCACAACCTTTTGAGAACAAAGGCTACATGTCAGGGGGAAAACAATACCTATTATTTTTTGTAGTTGAAACTGTAAGAAATTGATTAAACATGCATACAAAATCCAGTCATCCTAACTTACAACAAATGACAATAACATAACCATAACAACAGACTGCACATCAAGCCGTTTCAGCTTTAAGCCATTACATAAAAGATCTGTCAGTCACACTAATCCTTGAGTTTTTTTTCCTTTTTGGTGATGGGCTGTGATTATGTTCAGTGGATCACAGATTAGTTCTTGAAGAAGACAATAACCTGCATGTGTCTGTGCTCAGGCTGCAGCCCAGCAGCAGGAGTCTGAAAGCACCCAGCGAGCAGAGAAGGAGGTGACACGAATGGTAATCGTCATGGTGATCTCCTTCTTGCTGTGCTGGCTGCCCTACGCTAGCGTGGCCTGGTACATCTTTATCAATCAGGGGACTGAGTTCGGACCAGTATTCATGACTGCTCCGGCCTTCTTCGCCAAGAGTGCCGCCCTGTACAACCCCATCATCTACATTCTGCTAAACAGACAGGTGAGTGAAGCGAAAACATCCTGGTTTGATTGTTTTGTTTTGTGTGAAAGAAAGCTGTAGTTAAGGCAGAGTTGTAATTGTGTCATATATGTTCAGTTTTAAGACACTTCACTGTTGCCCTATGAGATTAAAATAACTCGCTATATATTCAAAAGTTCAACACACTTTACCTTTTAGATTTTAAACACATTTTACCGTTGCAATTTCTCCTGTACATTGTGTTTTCTCTGTTATAATGTCCCTCTTATTAGTTTGCCTTTTTTGTGTATCTCCTCGTTCAGCATATTTTTTTGTACATTTTGCTGATTTTTCTTAAATCAACTTTCTACCAAAGAATGATTTATTTGCTTGTCTTATGCCACACTTGAAATACATACTTCCACACATATATGCATTTGTTCCATTACTTGAGTCAAGGATCTACATATTTCCTCCGCCGCCACCATCAAGTGTTTGACTGACCTTCTCTCTTTTGGCCTCCAGTTTAGAAACTGCATGATCATCACAGTGTGCTGTGGAAAAAACCCATTTGGAGAAGATGAGACTGCGACCACTGCCATCTCCAAAACCCAGACTTCATCTGTCTCCTCCAGCCAGGTGGCCCCTGCTTGACCTGTCCCCCTCCTCTCCTTACCCCCCAACCCCCCACCCCCCACCCCCAACCCATCTGTCCCTGCACACCTAGGGACCCAACGCCGCCAAGCAGCACTACTGTTCTATAGGCCAATCCTCTTGACTTACCTCTCCGTGTGTCTTCGCTGCTGTGGCACAACCACACTGATGAACTCAAGAGCCAGCATGTGTATTTTTCAATCCATTTAATCATGGGAAGTGTTCAGCTGGCTGCACAGAGTTTAACCTGACACCAAGGTGGCGTTTGTCAGTGTGATGGTCCAACTGAACACATCTCAGGCTCCAATCTACCCTAAAAGTACAAAATTGATAAAAATCGAATCAAACTAACCACATCGCATGATTTCACGTCAACTCTTGTAAAAGTATATGCTGCAGGTACATATTCTGAAATGCGCTAAACAAATCTACTTGATAAATATTTAAGTACAATAACTCCTGAATTTCTTGAGTAATCTCAGACGGTATCAAGCTGGGTCTTTCTGTCGCTCTTCTCGTCTTTGTGGTAACAAAGCAGAGGTTGTTAGTTTGCTTTTGGCCCCGGCTGGGACACGAGTGTAAACAGATGGACCTGAAAAGAGCCTCTGCAGGGAGAAGGCGCCTCCTGCGAGAGAGTGTATGTGTGCGGTGGATGTTAAGTGTGTGGATGGATGTAAGAATGTTAGTTTGTAAATTGAAGGACTATGAGGAAGTTATTTGGTTTGTTGTGTGTAAAGGCTAGGATGATGTGGAAGTTGTTCTGTGTCCTGCAATAAAAGCAATGCTCGATGTCTGCAAGCCTTTTCCCTCACTCGTGTTTTTCATGAGAGCTTTTTTTACAAGCTCTATGAGAAGTTCCAGATGCTTGTTTGCGGGCTTTCGTGTGGCAGGCCAGATCTTAATGGTTCTCAAATGTTGTTAAAAATCTGCTCTCCTGTAATGCATTTGGAAATGGAGCAACACAAGACTTTGCACAATAAACATGCTCATGATTGGACACATTTAAAATCCTAAATACTGTAATTTATTTCACAAACTCTGACAAGTCATTTGGCATCACAATTACAGTCTCTCCTCAGGTTATATTGGGCTCACATTTTTACTCATATATGTTGACTTCCCTCTTTTAAATTGGTCAGAATCCAACATGAAATTCATTCGTTTACAAGCACACACTGATCAACACTTCTATACTGATGTAGCTCTTCCCAGTGAACCACATTACATCTGATTTCATATATTTCAGTCATTTTATATTCTTCCCTCTACTCCCCCTCAACCCATCATCAGCCTGCATAGCACATTGGATCCTATTGTTCAAGCACCGATGGGAGCCAGTCACCCATCTTCACTGGTCACACCTGAGAGTGTTGCAGGCTTTAGGAAATGGGAGGAGCTTTTCAAGGTCCCTCCTACTCATCCTGAATAACAGGTCACTTCTAAAGAATTTGAACACATCTATAAATATTGCTATGGACATTATAATACAGTACAGTGCATCATTGGCTCGTTCCCTCAACATAAAGGGTTCAGTGTGTTAAGACTGCCACCAGGGCTTACTGTAGGTCCCAGGAACTGCAAAGACATCCAGAAAAAGCTTAATATCCAAGCTTCTTAGCCTTCCCTCTAAAGCATTGCTGATCCAGACTGTCCAAGTCTCTGGGAAAGATTTTGGAAGAATTCTAAGCGCTCCCAGATCAGAGGAGGAACACCTTGCGAATGTATGTCGTTTTAAAGGCATGTTTAAGTCCATTGCTTTGCCACTTTCACGTTTTTCTTTTTTAGTCTGTGGGCACATAAATGATGCTCATGAAGGCTTACTCTTCAGTGGTGCCGACATTCCAAGGAATGAGGAGAAAGGCAGCTTTCAGCAGGAGAAAGAGATGGCGAGAAGAAGGAGAAGAAGAAGACACCAGCAGGCTCAGGCTTCACTACAACACTCGTAGATGTTGTCCTCCACCAGGGCGATGACCTGCTCGAACTTGTGGTGCAGCTGAGTGCGACGTGCTGTAGGGTTTGACTCCAGAGCGCTCACCACCTGACCGGGTGGAGGAGAGAAAACAAAGAAAACACAACAAAAGGTGACTTTCAGTGGCTGCCAAGCATTCATGCATCTATCAGCCACCTGCCTGGACATAGAAAGTTGAACGAGAGAAAGGGAGAGCAGCAGAGGAACAAGTGAAGTGCTTCTTCAGCCTTCATGCATGCCTCCACACCACAAAAGCCTTTGCTCTTCACATATTTACAAAACCCACATCTGCTCTGTTATTCAAGCCTTATAGACGTTACCGCGTCAGTAGGATTTCTGGGCTCTTAGCGGCAGTGTGCTACCAGGCAGAGAGAACTGAGCCGGGGCGAGAGAATAGGCAATCAGAGCGCCATTCACAGAACGCTGTGAATCACAGTCTAAGCCCCTGGCCAACGTCAGTACAGTAGCATGACAGAGGAAAGCAGCTAAACGGCATTATCATGAGGGTTCTCCATTAAGGCACAGTCACCGCTGACTAAAGCGTCTCCTGAGAATAGTCACAGCAGTGAGGAGACATGGGGGAGGACAGCAGGGGCTAAAGGAGGGCTAGTTCAAAGAGAAACTGGAGATATGTAGCAGCAGCCTAACGGCCTCATTAAGCAGATAGGGGTGCTGGATGGAGTGAAGGTAAACAGAAAAGTTGTTTGCTTAAAGTGAAAGCTATATGAGGGCTCGAAGGGGAGTTTGGACACATTCAATGCTGGCTGCTGCTTGGATGTTAGGTCATATCTGATGATTCTGATGAAAAGAAAGTAGCTATTTGGCGCAGCTTTTTACTGATATTACGACAGGTTGTGAAGTTGTTTACAGCATGCTTCATCTCTCGACGCTGATCTTCCGCGCTGATATGTCGAGCTCTGATACCTGTCTGTAAAACTTGAACAGGGTTAGCCGAGGCAGCAGAAAGAATAGGGCCAGTTACGACATGAGTAACATATCTTACCTGAGGCCAATAAGACAGAGAAGTCATTTTCTTTCTTACCTGGCTTCTGTATCTCTTGGCATATTTGTAGATTTCTGTCAAGGCCAGGTGGGTGTTGAATTCATTTCTGTATTTCTACAGAATGGAAAATTATAATATATTATTCTTCAAAATAAGGTCTCCAGGAAATTGTGGGCTTTTTTGGAGCCTGATGACTTATACACACACACACACACACACACATACACAAAGGGACTGTACTTACTCGCGACTCCTCGGCCAGGTGAGCATTCATCTCCTGCTCGCTGAGAGGTGCCATTTCCTGGATCTGTTTGTAGTAGCACTGCACTCTCTTCTTATACTCAGGGATCTCCTTGGCATACAGCAGCTTGTTTGTAGGGGAATCCTGAAAAAAAAACAAAAAAAGTTTTTACCATTTATTGCAGCAATACGTGTTTCGTTTTGGCAGTGTTGGCTGTGCTGATCCAGCCTAGGAGCATTTGTAAGCTCATGTTTTATTTGCTTTGGCAGATGTGTACAGACCGCCTCCTGTTCAGATAGATTTTCATCTGACCTGATTCAGGCCAGGCAAATCATAAACATTTATCGAATACAGAGCTGGTCTAAGAGCCATTTTTGCATTTTCATAAACATCCAAAATGGCAGCTGGTAAGTTGGCTACTAAATCATACCATGCTAAACATCAGTGTACTATGCTGAAGTTGAAGTCACATGACCTGGATGTAAGAACTAACTAGCTAACTAGCCAAGCGGCTTTCTGCTCCATCACATTTGAAGTCTCCTGAAGCGACCCACATATGGCAAAACTTCAACCTCAAATGCTGGCTGTGACTTATTTCATAATTTAGCACTGGGCTTCAGCTTCTACTTAGGAGGTTTGTTCATTGTTATGCAGTTTGCAATAAGGTGCTAATGTCCAAAGAAAGAGCTGCTCATGAGAGTGGATGTATTTTTTGTTGATGATCAAATCAGAACCAGCCTAAAGTGAGACAATAGTGGGAGGGAACAGTTTCCTTTCCGTACAACAGACCCCTCACAAACTGGGGAGAAAGAATATTCCAGACTTAACAATACTCCTTCATACCTCTGCACACTGCTTCAGGCTCTCGCACGACTGTTTATTCATGCAGACAGAAAAGTAGAAGGGCTAAGAGGTTGTGGGCATACTCTGGTTTTAGTGGTGACTACTGTTGTGAGCGAGTGTGTGTAGTTCCTCGTGAGCTCTACGAGTGTGGGAGAGAGAAAGGGACAGGGAGAAAGTAGGACAGGGAAAAAGACGAGGGGGAAAAAGAGACGGCCAGTCTCAGCTTTCAGCATCAGTGAATGTGCTTACAGAGCACCTTAATATTTCTATGTGTCACGACTTATTTGTGTCACCTTATACATGTGTTTGTTTGTGTGAGTGTGTGTGTGTGCTAAACATGCTGGGGGAGGGGATAGGCTGCGGCCATAGTTGCTCCCGCCGATAGGGAACCCTCACGCTTCCTGTCCACAAGGTCACTTCCTGCTGCTCATCCATCTGCCTGGTAACCCCCCTGTGACCCTGTGGCCCTTCATGTCTGCATCTTGCCAGATAAGAGGGTTTCTGTGGAAACAGCAAGCTTTGCTTACTTTCCTACCCCCTCTGTCTCATCCCTGCTATGCTTCTACTAATCCAGACGCAGTACCCTTCACTGCCCTGTCCCGAGGCAGCCGCACACACTCATGCAAAACAAATCTGACTGTAAACACGTGAGCAAATTGTAGGTGTGTCATGCCAGTCTCCTTGACCTGCTGGAGAAAATGTGGCCTTATCCTTGAAGTTGGTGACTCCACAATCCGTGCACAGCCAGATGCAACATGATAATGAGCAGGCTGCAAACTAAGCAGTGCTAAAATATCCCCTCACCCGGAGGTTTTTTATCTAGTCTTCATTTGAAAACACAAGGTATGTACCTGCCTACAAATGCATGGGAATATTGTTGTTGCTATTAGTGTACCCTCTCCTTGGCACTGAACTGAAGTATATAAATCAGAGTGTTTCTTAGTGAAAAAGGAGCATTATTTGATGAGTCCTTGCTCCCCTCCAGGGAGGAAGCCGGTCAGAGAGAGACAGGAAGCTGAGCGTGCTCAGGGTCATGGTGTCTGAGGGATGAGACGGATTTGTGAGCAGTGAGGACATTGACATGCAAGCACACACACAGACAAAAGAGAGACAGACAGACCAATGGACATAGGAGCGCCTGAGCACAGACACACAGCTCACAGCACAAAACGAGATCCCTGGTGCTCATGACCTTGGATCAGCCAAGTCGGCTGAAATAACACTAGGAGAGGTAGATGGAGCTGACAGGCTGAAGGCTCGGGGATGAGGGTTCACAGGGGGACTGGAGAGGTGTTAGTGTGTGTAAGTAAATATACAGACAGACAGATATACAGTATATATTGATGAATAGATATACTGACTGATGATTATAAAGAAAGCCTTTAGTAAATTTGGTATTTAATTAATAATCCTCCTCAGAGGGCTGCTGAGAGAGCGAAGTGAAGAAGAGATACTGACATTGAACCTCTGGAGTTCTAACTTTGTCTAATCTTAGTACAACGTACTGTAGGGCTGTCAGCATTAAGTAGTTAATCGCAATTAATCAGGGTCTGAAATGAATGCGTTCATTATTTGAATCGCAATGAATGACCTGTTATTTTGTTGCTTTAAGCGCACCGTGGATTAGTCTTCAGTGTCTTCCTGTAGTCACAGTGATGGAAAAGAACGACACTGCTGCATCTTTGTCTGACATCAAACATTTCCCATTTTTTCCATTTCTTTTGTCGGTTTTCATTTAGTTTTTGAGCTATATTGATTGATTGATTGATTTGTTTTCGTGTCATTTCTCTGCTGTTCTTAAATATAAGTTCCTTGCTCCATGGCTATATTCAGTTAATGTTGTAAACCTCTGATCTACCAGAAGGTCCTTATTTTATTTCAAAAATAAAAAGCCTCACAGTTTACATTTTTTAAGTGAATTTCAAACATGCGATCAAAATGCAATTAACTATTGAAATTCAGTGATTAAATTTGATTAAAAAATGTAATCATTTGACATCCCTATTTCAATGTGATTCACACTTCCTGGTGATATCACAAGCTTCATTGTCAGTCATGAAAAGGCCATTTAATCTCCTTAAAATAACTGAAAAGTGACGCATGCAACTCCTTAACTTTCTTGGGAATCAACATGTTTCATTCAGTATCAAAGTAATATTTGAATAGCTGCACATCAACATTACAAATAGAAACTGTAATGTGACACATTTACCACTATGTAATGTAAACAACATGGTTGTTTGGGGGCATTGTAATCTCAGCTTGTCTCAGGAGACCCCACGGCATGAGGATTTCAAAACTCCTGCAATTGCTAGATAAAAAGATAATCTCACCTTGCCAAGCTGCAGGTCAGAAATAGAGCAGGCGTCAATGAAGGCCTGGGCGATGACAGACAGGCAGGCATCCATGTGATCTGTCTTGTCAATGTCAAACACAAACTGAGGATTCTTCAGGATGTTCACCCAGAAACGCAAAGGCAAACTGCACGGGGAGGGGAAGAGAATATTTTTTAAAGCCTTGCACTTGCATAGTGAGATAACTAAAGGGGCATTTAAGCAGCGGGTTAAGTTGTGTACCTGTTAGTTTTCCAGATGTGCAGTGTGTCTGGGTCTGTGATGCCCCGTTTGTCAGCCTGCTCCTCCAAGAAGTCAAAGAAATATTTGACAGCCAGAGGGGGGCGTTCCGGAGGGATGCTGAGGATGGCTTGAAAGAGGTCATCCAAGAACTTCTGAAGAGTTCCCTGTGGAGGAGAGAGAAAAAAGGCTGCTCATACATACGCAGAGACATTTCATGGGATGTGGGAATTACTCTTCGGCCTCTGAGGCTAATATGGGCCACAAAAACAAGAAGTGAAAGATGACTTAGATATCAAGATGTAACTTCAATCTCTTGGTAGTGTGGACAAAGTATATTTTTTTCTTTCTTGTGGTTACCTTTGTAGACAGAAGGCGCGTCAGGTAGATTTCAGGCAGGACTTTCTTGCGGTGACTCTGCCGGTGTGACCTCTTATTCTCCATTAGCTCATCATGAGGTAGGACCTGGAGGAGCAGAGGCCAAAGGTCAACAAACTGCCCGTGAGAGGAAATAATAAACCCTCTCATGAGTATCTAGATGAATGCTCTACTGTCTGTGTCCATTGTTGGAGGGGAAATTTCTGTTTCTTGCATTAGACACATGATCTTGAAACCACATCTGGGTCTTTATGAGCACTGAATCATCTTCAGAAATAAGGAAGCACTGGGAATTGGGAAATGCTCATGCTTTTCTGTGGTTGCTGTGTATAGGATCATGTTTCTGACTGGCTCACAAGGGTCTAAATAAGAGTAGAGGAGAAGAAAGAAGTAGTCAAAATTCACCTTCGTGTGTCAAAAAAAAAAAAAAGGGACCGGAGAGGACCATTCTGCAAAACTAACTATTCACCCGGCAAATTGCGTCCCGAAGAACTCATTATTCTAAAGTCAAAGGTCCCATATCTTGGCTGACGTTTATAAAAGAGCTTAAGCAGTATTAGCGCTGTCATGTCCTCTCAGCAGCTTTCCTTTTCACCTTCATTCACCCCCTTTCCTGCTCCGAGCTCACTAACAGTCGCAAACATAGGAAACAAACTCACTTAGGGCATTTAACAGAAACATTCTGATTACGCGGCGATACTTACCAAGTGTACATACTTCTCCGTATCCAAATCCTTCACTACAGAGACAAAAAAAAGAAACACACAGCGTGAAACAATGCACAATCAGCAAGGTGAAGACCTGAGAAAATAAGAGGAGACAGCAGGAAGGAGCACAGAGGAGTGTGACAGATAGGAGGGTGGGGGAAAAAAAGGGAGATTGACAGGAGAGCAGAGGAGATAGAGTACATGAGAGAGGAGAAAGTGATTAAGGTGGACGGTGGGCAGGTAGGGGAGGGGAGCTGTCTGAGAGAATGAAAGAGAAAGATTACGAGTGAAAGGAAAAAAAAAGAAAAGAAAGAGATTAGCGGAGACAGACACACGGAGTCTGTGATTGGTTCTGGAGCCAGTGTAATGAGATGGTAATGCTCGGCCAGTGCTGGAAAAGAGCATTAAAACCTTGCTGGTTTATATATAGATCCAAACACAAACACACACTCATACACATGCATGACACGTATGAATACATGTAGACGCATGTCCAAATACAAACCGAAACCAGACACAAACAAGTATAGTAGATTATTGCACACAGGCACACACGGCAGCAAAACAAAGGCAGGCATTTGGCAGCCACACACAAACACAACGATATAATGAGTGTGTTCTCATTACAGCCTCCTCTGCCAGAGATGCTCCTGCCCAGCGGGCCACGGTCCAGACCCTCACCACTGATCACAGGCAGGCAGGACAGTGTTTTATATTAGCCAGGGAGCACTACAGGCTCATAACACTCCCTTAATGCTTTGAAGGAAGAGCCAGGTTTGGTCCACATAAGCCTATCTTTGGACCAGTTTGAATGAGAGGGGAGGCTTTGATGGACAGAGCCTGCACTCTGGTCTGGTACTGATTATGTAAGGTAGACTCCAGACAATGAAGGGACAAGCCCATTAAAGGCTGCATGTAAACTTGTCTGTCAACAGGCAGATCTCTTGTTATAGTCCCGTTTGAGGCTCAACAATGGGCCACCTTGTGTAGCAATTTTTTCCCGCAAGCCCACATTTGCTCAAGAAATACGTCTATAATGCCGGTTAAAAGTCTGAATGAAACGGTAGAAGAAGACTAATGTTAAGTGTTAGGATTTATTAGGTGTGAGTGTGTTTAGATGTCTGCGGTGTCCTTAGGGGGCGGGAGCGTGTGTGGTTTCATGCATGTTTACACGAGCGTATCATGTTCTCGTGATCAGCTAAGCATGTGCCGTTTCCTGTGACCAAGTGAGTGAGTGTATTTATCCAAGTGTGGGTGAGTATGTGTGACAAAGCGACAGGGAGTGGGTGTGTTTGAAGGTGACGTACCTCTCCCCAGGGTGTTCTCTTTCTTGTCTTTCATGCTCATAGCCAGCGATGCCCCTTCTGGGATCTGTGGAGGGGAGGGGAGAAGGAGGGAGGGAGGGAGGAAAGACGAGAGAGGACAGAGAGGGCACAGGGTCAGGGGTGAGCTGGGGTGCACCAGAACAGCATCATTAAGCATGCCCTCCAGGGGAGAGTGGTGTTGAGAGGTGTATACGAGTGAGTGAGTGTGTGTGTGTGTGTAGGTGTGTGTGTGTGTGTGTGTGTGTGTGTGTCAGTCTAGAGTGGTGGTGACTCTGCAGGAGCCTGGCTGGGCTCATTAAAGTCAACCTGTGGTGAAATGGATTGAACAGCTTTGCCAGTGAACCAAGACTGTTAGTACTTGCTGCAGCTCGCTGCTTTCACAGCTCCGTCCCAACAGCAGAGCAAAAACCAAACAGAGCACTTAACACGTACACGTGAAGGGTCGAGGGTCAAGGGTCACGAAGGAATGTTTACTCACGCACAAATGAACGCAGACGTAATCAAACACACCATTTACACATTCATGACATATTGTGTCTATCTTTTTTTCTATTCATTTATTTGAAATTTAGAATTATTTATTATCTTTAATTTAAATTATTATATCTAATAAATAAATATGTGAATGGAATATTGTAATTATTACACTTTCTGCTATCTGTACTCAAAAGTAAATGATATTATGTGATTTTATTAATGTTTTTCTTAAAATAAATTTGAATAAAAATAACACTTAGACGATGGTTATAACAGATATTCATCTTATCTGATGAAGACATGGATGTAGTCTCAGTGACATCACACATTGCTTTCTAAAGAGGCATTTGAAGCCCAATGACGGGCTGACCGTATTGGAAATGCTGACTCTACCTGACTTTAGATTAATCTCGACACAGGCAAAGAGGTAGAGCTGGGGTGGGGCCTTAATCCTCCTAGCAACCAGCTACAACGCCTTTCAGTCAACTCAGCCGTGACCCAGAAATATGCAAATGTAGCCTTGATATGATCAAAAGTTATAAAATGATATTTAAAGGGCTTTCGGTGACAGCTTCATGCGGATACTAAGTCATGTTTTTGCCCTCCCGCTTTGGCTTTAAAATATGTAAAGATAAATAAATGTTACTTCTTTTAAAAAGAAAGTTCTTCTAAAAAGAAAGTTGTTTTATTTTTATGAATAAACATACAAATGCTACAATTCGATTCAAGAAAGTCTTTTTTTGCAGCGTGTCTGGGTTGAATGTTTATGTACACTATCATAGTTACGGCTGATAAATAAGTAACATACATATTAATAACTATACAAAATGTTGTATACTGTATTTCTGAATGTAGAATCTGCACAACAACACAGTGTAATAGGAGCAAATGACCTGAAAAGAGAGGCGTCGAATAACAGCAGACAAACATTTGCAGAAGCACCTGAATGTAAGTGTGTGCAGCCACATAGAAACAGTGAGCATCCTCACACCCATGGACAGTCAGTGACACCATTTATAAGGACTTCTCACCTTCAACACCCCCGCTGTAGCTGTTACAATATCAGGGATGTACAGGTGCCCTGTGACAACACCCACCACAGCGGATTCACACACACACACACACACACACACACCTGGTAATGGAAGACTGTGTTGAGCTTCTTCCTGCCATCCTCCATCACTGAGGAGTTATCCAGGTCCTGCAGAAGCTTACTGTTGCTGCCAGAGTCAAACCACTCTGGAGGAGAGAAATAAGACAGGAGAAGGGAGGAGGGTAATATTAGACAATTCCATCCTAAATTTGGAAAAGGATATGCAAGACAGAGAGCAGTCGTGCTCTAAATCTCTGTGTCACGACCTGTGGAAATATTCTTGGGCCATTAATCAAATCAGCTCTGCAGGCTGCACAGCTTTTGAAAGCAATAACTCTTTGTGATTATGACTGTACACTCTCCTCGATGCATTCTGTCATTTATTATATTGCAGCCCCAGGTTAGTTGAGCTTCATGAGAGGAATTGACCTTTTGCAAGCAAAGAAGATTACTATATCTCATACGGTTTGGGGAAGGGGAAAGGATGAAAATAATCAGGAAAAAAATGTGCTCTTACCTAGGTCTACATCCTGTGCTCGGGGCCACTGGGAGAATGGGAGGTTTTTATAAAAGGCCTCTAGGATTTTTTCCTTCACCTGGTAGATTGTGTCTGTATTCATGACCCTGACCGACAGTGAGTCCATGCCACAGCCCTGGAAGGACACATTCATGTTCTGCAAGGAAAAAGAAGCAGCAGCATGTCATACTTTGCAGGATTCAGCAAGTTTTGAAATGTAACTTCCTGAAAAGTAAAACCCGGATATGAAAGATGAACTGAAAGCGCGTGAGATTTCCGACCTGTGGTTTGGCCTCCACATTCTCGCGGAGCAGCCACTCCTCATTGAGGGTGTAGCGGGCCTTCCCTGTGATGGCGTCTATGGAGCCCTTGTTGATCTGCTGCTTGATTGCACACAGCAGCAGGAAGAAAGGCTCACCCACTGTTTCCTGAAGAACATGACAGAAAAGTTAAGTCAGACACTGGGGCTTTAGTAAGTCTCAATCAAAAACTCCTGCCACATCATTCTCCTCCTCATTTTTCCTCACCTTGAGGTAGCTGTACATGCAGATAGACATCCAGTTGGTCAGCATCTTCTCCACAACAGACTCAGTGCGGCGCAGCATCAATTTAGGATTCTTAGAGGCTGAAGCATCAATCAGGTCTACAAGCAGATCTTTCATGATGCTGGTGTAGTACTCCAGCTTGCCATGGAGGGCGATGGTGAGCAGTGAAGCCAGGCTGCATCTGAAGAGCGAGAAAACAGATTAGTAGAGACGACAGATGAGCAAAAACACGCTCTTCCAAACATTTTGGCCAGTGCAGGGGAAGTGCAGATTTATAGGTAGTTACGTAACAGAAGCAACAACAGGTTCAACACCTGTGACTCCAGTTTCAAATAAAGACCTGATCTAATGCAGGGAGCGTCTGGTGAGTAAATCCAGAGGTGCAGGGGATTTCCCTAACAAAGCCTCTTTAATCCAGGAGGAAGGGGCCACATCAGTCAGTAAGCGCTGAGTAACTGAGCTGGGACAGGGATGTGGTCTTGCCTCTGGATTTTTTTCTCATGTTCCCCGCAATGACTGGCATGTTTTAGGACATCAAGACCAAAATAAACTGAACTGACAAATGCTCTACTGCCTCGATAGCTTGTAAGCCACTTTTCTCAACCAGAAATATCTCAGAAACAGACAACCTTGATTGGGAAGAAAAAAAAGCTTCCGTTTTTGTAATCTGCATTATTTGTAACTTTAACAATTGTGCGATTTCACTGTTCATTGCTCCTCAGCGTTACCCTCTTTAATAAAAAAAAACAACAAGTTAACCTGATTAGAGTACATTGATAAGTAACCCGTAAAAACAAACTCAGATGTACCCCCGCAAGGTACATATGTACACATCACACTGTGCCTATGTGCAGTATGTGTTTATGTGTCTGGTTATGAAACCTCTAGTTAGAGGCAGAAGAAGCAACACACTTCAGGTGTGTCCTGGGTGAAAGAACTCAGTTCCTATTCAGCTGAGTAGCTTTTCTGTAACTTTGTCTGTTTAACTGTTTGATTGTCAAAATTGCACTCATAACCTGTTTGATGAACTTTCTTTGCAATGAATTACTGAAAATATAATCGACTAATGGTATCATTTCCAACCGTGTCATTTTTTTCTTCTATTTAGGCCTTTAGCGACACAAAATGTGTCATTTATGCTACAAGAGCTTCAAAACCAAAACAATGACCAAAGACATTGTTTGATGATGTAGTAAAGCAGCATGGGACCATACACAGTGAGTGTCATTAACACTTTTCTATATGTCTTATGTTAGTTTGGTAGAAGCCATGTTTTGCTAACAAAGTGGTTTTAAGCTGTTTTGTTTTTATCATAATTTGTTTCCACTGTGGGTCAATGGGTCAATGACTTTAACTGCATGCTGTGGCTTAAAATGAGGTTGATGAGAGCTGTGAGAGTCAACCAAAAAAGTTAAGCTGTGGTCCGAAAACTTTGAGCTGAAAGACAGTGAGACAATCTTAAGAGGTGAAGGGAACGACAGGGTCAAGTCAAAAATGACGACAGAAATAAATACAAAGCTTTCTGCCAATGGTTTCTTAGATTAGGTAATTTCATCTTGTAAGTGTTACTTATCTCCAACCTTTAAACCAATCTGGATGGATGCTTTTTCTTTTTCTTCCAAACAACTACTTTCTGACATAATTACCTGTCTCGTACAGCAAAGTCCTTCTGCTGTTCCAAGGCGTGGACAAACGTGATGAGGAAATGCTTGTTGTTGAGCAGTGTAGAGAACAGAGTGATGCCCTCCTCTACGTTAGGCCTTGTCGTGTTGTTAGCCTGATGATGATTGGGGGATGGGGGATGGGGGGTGGGGGGGGGATGAAACAGTTAGTTCTCTTTGTGATTTCTCCTTAACTGCGTTACACACCTGCTGAACCGCCCCTAATTATTTCACCACCTCTTGTCTCGAGTGACCTATCTAGTGAAAATTTCATCTTTCCATCACAGCTCTCTCTTCGGCTCTTTCAGGCCCCCACCTCTCTCTGGTTCCTTCAACAGAGTCTGTATCTCCCGCTCCGGTCCCTGACTGTGTGTGATTGTCTCTAAATGTGCCGAGTCGACTTAATGAGTATGGTCTATCTATGGGTGCGACTAAGCAGCAGTGTGATGAAGTCTTCCCTCTGGACTGCAGCCATATGGTGTGGTTTGCAGCCTGACAGAAGGAGAACAGGGGTGTCCATTAAGATAAATGCCCGCCTGTGAGATTTATTTGCTGTGACCTGGAAAACACTTCCTGGGAAGACGATGTGGATCCAAGGCACTTCATCACGGTTAGACAGGCTCCCCCCGGCTGCCGACCCAAAACTAAGCTAGCAATCGTTACTTTCTCTCTTCCCAACGTGCACACACACATGCACACACACATGCACACGCCTTCATTTGCAGTATGCCATCACACAGAGGTGTAGAGTGCGCACTCCCTTTCCCACTTTCACTTTATAACTCATGTCCGCCCCTTTAGTACACACACACACACACACACACACACACACACACAACACACACACACACACATACACAAAACAACAAGAGATGGATTTGATGAAAAGCATACTGTTTGGTTGTCCTAGTGCCAGTGGGAAGTGTGTCAACAACCTGCCATCAACTTAGTGGGCACCGTGTTTTTTGACGGGCTGAATTTGTTTTGTGTCTCACTCACTAGAAACCGCTGCATGACAGGCATTAGTATTCATATTTGCACACACAAGAGCATGTGGGTTCATACACATAAAGCACACCTGACACACTCCGCACACACACATACACACACTGCACGCACACAAAGTCAAAAATGCACTATATGCCTTTCTTTACTCCTCATCAACAACAGCCCCACTGTGAAACCTTAATAAGCTTCAGAGTGACCCAGTTGAGAGCGATGGGAGTGAGGTCCCAAATCAAGGCACTCTGGCAGAAGAAAGCAACCTAACCTAACATCCTAATGGCTTAACCCTTCACCTTCCAGTCCTGCAGCAGCGGATGGGTCTCTGGCAGCGCTCGAGGGCCCAGAGGATCATTCTCGTAGGCGGGCTGGACCAGACTCTTCTCGTAATCGGAAAACATCTGAAACACAAATAAACACATGAAGAAAAATGTTTAATACAAAGTCAGCTCAAGTTGTAAACACAGGAAGATGCATAGACATGGGGAAACAGAAAGCGCTGGCCTTGAGACTCTGCAGTCTGGAACCAAAGGGCAGAATTTCTTTTCTGAGGCCCTGACAATGGAAAAGGGAACATGACACTGTGACACAACATCATGAGCATTAATGCTTCAGAGGCAAACTGACCCAGAGCCAAGAGCCAGCCTTTCAACACAGTCTGTCATTTCAGGGTAGCTGCATTTGTCTTGTATTGTAACTGTGTCAGAGACTATATTTATCGCCGTTTTGTGTTTATGTGCAAACTCCAAGAACCAGAAGCTCTCATGGTAAGACAAGAGCACAAAGGGTCGAGGCGGAGTGTTTGCTGTGCTAGCAGGAAAACTAAAGACGATACTAAAGCAGCAACACTTGAATTTATGTTTCTCTCCATGTAGCTTTCAGCACTCTCCCCTTTCACTTCCTTCACAACAGAAAAACACTGTCCAGTGTCCACTGCAACAAACCAGCGTTGCGCAAGACACCCTATACTTGCAAAAGAGTGTGGGTGGGTGACAGAGTCAGGAGTGTTTTTTTTTTTTTTTTTTTAACCGGGGGAAAGTTCCCTTGTCTCAGTGCCCGCCATTGTTCTGTCTCCTTGTGGTTGGAGGACAAAGCATGCTGAGTTGTGTCTGTCTGTATCAGTGGAAATTACACCCACAAACACACGACCGCAGTCTACCTTCAGAGTGGATCAGACATCCGGAAAATGCTTACCTATAGAGAAGATATTTAGTCTCCTGCAGGGTGTCACACTGAGCTACACTTTGCTTAAACTATATGTTTAAAAAGTTCCAAGGTAAATTTTGATGCTGCATATTACAAGCTGTGGGAAATGTGTTACGCAGGAGGGAAAAAAAACAATATTAAAACCCCATTGAGAAAAATGGTATTGTCAGTGTGCCAGTGGAAATCAGATAGCGGGCGGAAAAATAGGTTTTCTCACCTTGGGGAAGAACGTGCGTGTTACAAACTGTTTGTACTCCAAAAAGGGAATGCCCTGGCTGCGGTTCAGCTCCTTGGTCAGGTCTGTCATGTCTGTCTGCAGCTCTGCAAAGCCTAAAAGAAAGAAAAAAACAGAATGACCCAAAAAGGCTTGAATCATGGGAATGTTTAAGACCAAAGACTTGTTCTTGGCTCCTCGTGCTTCATTTGTTGCTAAGCGAAATGAGTCAGAAATCTGTTCACAGGCTAATGCAATAACCCTCATATTCTCTGAGGACGCTGTGGGATCTGTAAGAATCAAAGATCACATTAAAGACAAGTTAAATCAGAGTTGTATCATCTCATTTCGCAATGTTCTGGTTGAATACTAAATACACCGGCAGCATGTGATCCTCTGATCTTCTTCCAATCTTTCCTTTCTCATTTCTCTTTGCCAGATTTTTTTTGCAGTCCAGACAAATATTTACCAAACAACAATGAGAGCAGCCAAACCCAGTCTGAGGCCCTCATCCAAAACATGTGTGGGGAGGCTGCAGAAACCCTATCAGCATCTCCAGACACACACTTGAATATGCATGCTAATATTTTAGCCACTTTATTGGATAGCACGCTCTCAGAGAGGATGATGCTCTCCCCTAATGAGACGCTGGAGATCCCTTTATGGAAACGCTCTTCCTGTTGTAGGATGAGAGACGTATTGGGGTTACAATGGGACTTTCTTAACACCGTGTTTGTGTAGAAAGAGGGGAATACTAGACCTGAGGGATTTGACTCATATTTCATTACTCCCTCCAGGTTATTTATCCTCCTGCTCACCAAAGCGTCCTCTAACCCACCAGTCTGTTCACACCATTGACTGTTGATTGGAAGCAGCCGTCCCCGAAAACCAAAACACCTCTCTGCCAAAACTCTCTTCTCTGGAAAATGTCATTTTCCCATCTCCCCTGTACTCCCCAGTCTTTTTTTATTATATCTTACGTCTCGGCAGAATTACACCTCGATCATGCACTCTCAACCTGAACTCTGCCACAAATCTGTCTGCGTCCTCCGACTAAATAACCTCTCCTCCTCCCACACTTTACCTACTCCCCATGACCCCTACTCCTATCTCTTCCTCCCTCTACTTTTCTTCTCTATCCATCCCCCCCTATCTCTATGCCATAAATCTGGGTGCTCAGATGTGGCGCGGCCTTCACACGGCTTTACCCTAATGCCCTAGACTCACACAAATGCACACATATATGTGCATACAAAAAGACAGGGCTCTGAACACAAACACGTACAAGCCTCATTCCTACAGGCTAGACACAACAGAGGCGATGCAGCCACTAAGTGCGTCTTGCGTGTGACTGATCATTTGTCAGACACTGTGTTTCATGAGTCACGCTTACTAGGCACAAATCTGTCAACTGTTGTATCTCCCTCCCACTTCAGCCGAGAAAAAACACACACAGATGTGCACAAACAAACACACAAATATATGTGGTCAATATTTCTTCCCACAAGCTCCTTTTTCATGTCAATCGACACAAACATCATTTGGGTGTCTGAACCACACTGATATCAGAGTTTGTACAATAGGAGAGGTGCATGTGTCTGTGTGTGTGTGTGTGTGTGTGTGTGTGTGTGTGTGTGTGTGTGTGTGTGTGTGTGTGTGTGTGTCTGTGCATGTGTGTGTGTGTGTGTGTGTGTGTGTGTGTGTGTGTGTGTGTGTGTGTGTGTGTCCTTGTATAAACACACCTTTGCGGATCTCCTCTCTGATTTGGGACTCCATCTCTTCCATTTGGAGAAGAGTTTTCTGCCAGTAGCGTTCCGCCCTTCGGCTCTTTGTGCAGTACACTACAAGGGCTGAAAAGACAAAAAGCAGTTTGTATACAAAATGTTTCAACCACTGACAGCTTCCACTACATCAAAACAAAAAAAAAAGTCAATATCAATAGGATGCGCCTAAAAGCCTGTGAGGCTGTGGAACATATTTCTATGAATGCTTCTGACTGTGCGAGCATGAAAATGACATTTTCTGATAAATTTAAGGGTTTGAACATTGTTGATAAAATGTGTGCACTTATTATTTCAACAGCTATCAAGCACAAAAGGGTCCTGCAAATTAAAATAAAGATAAGAGGGAGGGAGGAAATTGTGTGAAAACCCACGGAAAGTACCAATTTTCTCCCCCCGCACCTGCCCCTGCACACACTCATACAGAGATTACCGGATAAACTCCACACAGACATCCAGACAGTGCTGACAGCAAAGGGGAACAGTAGGGTCTTTGTGCTTTGAGTACTGAAGAAGGATGAAGCAAGTGCAGAGAAACTATGACCCTCAAATCCCTTTTATCTGTTCCACATCTGGAGCATCCATCGCTGCAGCAGTCACACATCCATCATCCGCTGGTGAGTATGTGTACACAACCTACCCACAGTGCACAGCAGCAGCAGCACGCAGCACACCACGATGGACACCACGATGGCCAGCTCGCTGCCGCCCAGCTGCACTTTGGCAATGGTGTGACGAAAGTTCCCAACTTGCACCTAGACAGGAAAAGAAGAACACACTAGTATGTGAAACTGCTTTCTCTTATGTTTTCTCTTTTCTTCTACATCTCTGAATATTACCTTTACATGCTACATCGTTTTTTTTTTTGTTTTTTTTTATCATGTCATACATATTCTTTCATTTCATTTTGATCAAGTATTTGTTTCTCTTTTATCACGGTTTTCTATTCCAGTGCAGTCCACGTGGACACTAAATATTCTGCTGCAGTGCTAGATTTGTCAGAAAAAGAAGATAACATCTTACAAAAAAAACCTTCTATAGTAGTAAAAAAAAAACTGTCTCTTCACCTCCGGCACTATAAATAAAACCTTCCACAAAAGGCTCCCTTACTGAATCACAACCAAACTCTTTTAGAATCATCCCTCTACATAGAAGCTGTCATACGAGATGAAGGACATTTTAATGTAGTCCTTAAATCAAAACATAAAGAGCGTTAAAATGCACTTAAATCATATTACAAACAAAATACTTTGCAGACAGACCATTAAACCTCTCCTCACTATAGCTAATAGGAGTCTGTCTGAACATAAATAGCTCACACACAAACTGTCCTCCACACTACCTTCTTTAGAGTACTTCTTTTATGAGAAGATCATTTAGATTGATGTCACACTTACTGACCATCATTTGAACAAATAAGGAACATTTACTTTATGTAACATGACTATTACTATGTACAATCAACTGTTTCAAAAATAGAAGATTCAAACACAATACTGTCTAATTCTTACAAGGTTGTCCATGTTAAATACCAAAGTCATCATTTTAGCAAACTGGTTTTCAGACACTGATATAAGAGGAGGCTTTGGTATATATGTCAACAGCAGTTAAAGTAGAAGGTAAGGAATAGACTTGCAGCTATTTAAAACCTCTGTTGACACTTGGCTGCCAATATAATTATTGTCAATTATTCTTAAAAAAGAATTCATGACGGTATATCAAACATTGTAGATCTGATGTGGCAATTTTTTACTTGAATATGATCATCCAGTAAAGCGAATAAGACTTGGAGAGAAGAGACGAAGCTCACACTAAGACAGCACAGTAATAAGAAGAGACAGTGGGTGCATTAAGTATTTTCTTCGTCGCAAAGTGTGAAGTTTCATGCAGTAGAAGAGGCAACTCTTAATGGGAACACAAAGGCCTGGGAACATCGTATTTTTCATGAACACAGGTGCAGACGCAGAGAGAAAACAACGCTGTAGAGTTTGAAAAATGGCCTCTCGCTCGCTGCAACGAGCTGGAGGAGTCAGCCAGTTCAGAGTAACCCAGATGTGACAAGAAAAGGACTTTCACTTCTGCCTTCTGATTAGTCAGCAGGGTCTCTGTGGTCCCTCCTCACATCTCTCACTTTCCTTCCTCAAACTGGAATATACTTCATAAAAAGAGCCTCAGATAAAAGGCCTCCGATCCCACACACCAAATCCTTCTTACTCTGGTCTCGCTCTGAGGAGGAATCTGGCTCACTGGGCACACCCCACCTGCCTTTTTATTTTCACATTCCCACTTTCTCTCTCTGGTCCATGCGTTCATCCGCACATGAAGTGAGAGAAGGCCTTCTTCCAGGGACTGCAACAGCCCAGCCTGGTGTAATGGAGGGGAAAATGCCATTGTTCCATGTTCCTGTTTTGCTCGGGGAACAAAAACACTCCTTCCCCACATCCACTTCTGCAGCTCAGCTCAGCTTCAGAGCCAAGCAAAACATGGGCATGTAAAAATAGATCCACCACCGAAAGTAAGTGAAGACACACAAATGGCCATAAGCAATGCAGCAGCCCAACATGTATGCGTTTATTCAAATCTGTTTTTACCCCTGTCGACTGTGCTCACTAATCATCCTCACTCCTCATGTGCAGACAGCCCACCCATTTGTGTTATGACATCTCATTTGACCTCTGCCCCCGCCTTTATGTCTTTGCTAATTGCCTGTGTTTATTCTCAGATATCCTGAGAGAGAGACAGGGGGGGGAGGGTGGGTGCGAGATTGAGCCACAGGTACACAAGGAGCAAGAGACAAGGAGAGAGAGAGAGAGAGAGAGAGAGAGAGAGAGAGAGAGAGAGAGAGAAATATAAAAGCCCCCTTTTTCTATTTCGGTGTCAAAGTGGAGAGAAGGCTCTTATAGTATAACTCAGCCGGATAGGCCGAGACAGACTAACATATGTTTCAGAGCTATTTCAGCAAACCACTCACAGTCTGGCTCATATTTAAATATAGATGAGCTCTTTCCCCACTTAATAAAACTCTATCAAAACACAGAAGAATGAACGGCAACAGATGGGAAAAGTGGGAAGAGGTAGGAAAGTGTCTGGTTTTATCAGACCGGTGCAGGGCTTGACCACGTCTTGATTAAGAATTTTAATTGAAATGGAGAGAGACGGGAGACAAAACAAAAACACCGCCGAGGAGTGAGCCAGAAGATTTGGAAATGGCTGCGAGGAGATATTAGATTGTGTAAAGTGATGATAGACGGACTGATGCGGGATTAAAGAGATAAAGGATAAGAGGTAAACACGGAGCAGAGTGATGGCTCGCCACCCCCACTAAAACTGCTGAATCATGGTGGCATGCCCAGAGACTGCAAACCATTCATAATGCACGGAGAGAGACGCGCACTTATAACTGGCTGTGCGTGGACCTGTGTAGATCAAATCTGTTTCAATAAACAATACACAGATGGTCTGGATGCTGACTCAATGTTTTGCAGTGTGACAGATGGGTGATATTCTTAAATAATCAGTCTAATCAGACATATTTCAACACATTTTGTGTGGGTGATCTATTGAGGTGTCGTACATGCTTGTACACTTACAGTGACAGGCATCTCTCTCTCACTAGCGCTGAGCAGTCCGTTGATGGTGCAATGGAACAGCTGGTCATTGTGGAAGCTGATGTTACAGGGATAGGAGCCAACCATCACCGAGTATTCCTCCGGCATTAGTTCCAGGTCGCTCGGCCCTTTCTGCGCAAAAAAAAAAAAAGAAAAAAGGAAGAAAAACACAGCCATTTTGTAAGTCAGTGGTGAAATGGTATGGTTTGACCGAGCATAGATAACATTCAGCAGCTTTAACCCACATATTCATGGGGCACGCAGCCTATTCACACATGCATGTAGAAACTGAGCTGCACAGGCGTGTCACGAAGCTGTCACACAGAGGAAGCCAGGAGAAAACTCATTTAATTTGGGCTAGAGTTCAGCTTAAAGCAGCAAACACTCCCCGCCTCTCTCACATGGCCATGGAAGTTTCTCCAAACAAACCCGCCGACAGTCATGCCTGCCTCGGCCCAAAATAACATTCTCAGGGCCTTTACAGGAGCCCACTGGAATGAGCTGCACAGTTTGTATCACTCCGACTTGCTGTCATTCCAAGACCCACCTCTCAATGCTAACTTTAATTAAAAATCACTCCGGCCATTTTCGCCACGTGCACTCGGCCTGCTGAACACATTTCAAAACAAACACAGACAAAAACATAGCTGCATGGTGATTTTTTTGTGGCTATAGACTGAGCTTTCTATAGACTAAAAATAACCCTGGTGTCACTGTGATGCCATTAGAGTAATGAAAAGTTTTAAGACAACCTGTGCAGCATATTATTTATTAGTTATTAAAACGCTGATAATATTTTATAAATGCTTATTGGGAAATAAAGTATCCTGTGTTTCATGAGCTTGCACAATACAAGAGACTTGCAGTTAGGAAATATCTGTCTGCTTCAGTTATGACCTTTTGACGAGCATAATCGCTGTAATATTACTTTAATAGAAACTAAGTGCACCACTTCACACTCTTCCACTCTATTTAGAGGAAGGGGGATAAATGCTATCACAGCATGCAACTAAGTGCTGAAATGCTAATAAATTGTCTGTTAGCCAAAAACAGGAGATTAAAGCATTTAAGGGGATTACTTTCAATGCACGTCTATCAGATAGAAAAAAAGTATTTTGGGTCTATCTTAGTGTCCCCTCTATTTTTATTGGTTTTATTCACTCTGGGAATTATCCCTTTGAACAGCCAGAAAGTGAATAATCTTGATCTATTTTATTAAAACACAAGGTGTTATCATCATTTAACCGGATAAAGATCAATCCCAACAGTTCATCTAGTCAAGTGACAGAGTGAAGGAATCTTTTTTGGATGCCTAAAAAAATAAATGTTTTCTATCAATTGCTAGCAGATAAATGTGGGAAGAAGGCATCCTCGTGCAATATGAAGTTAACAGAGAGTGTGTGCAAATGTGTGCAAGACTTAATCATACAATGTCTCTCTAGTCTTTACAAATAGCATCAAGTCTTTTAGAATTTATTTTAAACACCTTCTTGTGAAATTCACAGTGAAGAAATTAAATCATAATATTTTCAGTCATGATGAGACTATCTTGAGTTAGATGTTGCTCTTATGTCATAAATGTAGGCGGTATCTGATTCCTTTTAGCGATTTAAGGGATCAGCATATACAATAACATGGCCAAACTTATTCTGAAATTCGTCTGCAAACTGATGGAGTTAGGCTCTTCTTGAGGTTTAAAACATCTATGTGACGTCTTTTGATTCTTTTCTATGTTAGACTTCTTTTAAGTGATGAAGCAGCAACCCTAGCCGCCTGCAATTAACTTGGAATGTATATCCTAGGGTTACTATTTATATACAGGGATGATGGACTAAACTACAAAAAAATAAGACACACTTGAAGCTGCAGTTTCCCTTTAATATAAGAATGACAAGTGAGGAAGTGTGCGTGTGTTTTTGTGTGTGTTTATCCCCAGTGTGCTTCCTTGCTTTGATTACACCCTTAGGGCCCTGTCCTGTCCCTACTGCAGGATGCCACCCCCTGGGTCTCTGTCAACAAATGCTTCCTAACACAGTCTCACACACACGCACGCACACACACACACACACACACACACACACACACACACACACACACACACACACACACACACACACACACACACACACACACACACATACGTTCTTCACATTTTTTAATACACTCATACACACAAAGCGAGCCTCTAACTATCTAACTATCATACAAAATATGTTTGAGCAATAAGCATATTGTAAAATAAACTCTATAACCTCCATATACAACACAACATTTCACACTTACAACTCATTGGACCAGAAAAAGGGATTTTTAAGGCCAAAACAGGATGAAAGCAAACAAAACCCACCCACATTCCATCGCAGGTCCTTAATATAGGATCTGGCTGACTAAGAAGCTCCCTATGAAGCAAACACACACATTGTGTCTCCAGACTCTCCCCTCCCTTCAGGTCACCCACAAGTGGAATCCACCTTCCTAAAGAAAACAGGAAACAACAGACGAGTCGCCGATGCAGACAGGCTGAGGCAGCGATAACCTGCAGGGGCCTCTTCCTCACACACAAACCCATCAAGAGGAAGCTGCATCGGGTTCATACATCCCTGTACATGCCCTTTGCATGTGCGTGTCATTCTACCAGCAGGCCTTTAGGCTGATGAATCCATGAGGACAGGTGTCTTGATCAGCCAGGACACATGAACATGGGACCTCCCACTGAGCCCTCCACCCCCCCCCCCCCAACAGACCCCCAGCAGAAATCAACACTTTTCAAAGGACAAGGCCTTTGATGTGTCATATGTGCCTCCGGTTTATGTGAATATGAATAAAAGAACATTCAACCGTGTTTGTTGCTCACAGTGGGGGCAGTCTACAGCAGTGTTGGTACTTGGAGCCATGAAACATTTAGAAAACACCTTTCCTTGTTTAGGGCACAATTTGAATATTTGTATTCAAAAGTTTGGATTGTCTTAATCTATTGTTAACTGCTCATTATATCTTAAAGTTTGACTGTTTTTCTCATCATGAATTGGTGTAGGGTAAAAAGGTTTGCCTGAATAAGTAAGTCACAATGATTCAGATTTAATGAGCAGATTCAATTCTTGATGAATTTTTGATACAAGCCAATTCCTGCTGAACAAATTCCTTCACATTTAAGCAGAATCTGATTATAAATGTCTCCGGTTTTAATGTGTGCTTTTGTAGCTAAATATAATAAAACTCTCTTGACTGACTGGACCTGAATGTTTGCTTGGCTTATCAGGAAACCTACACAACAGCGAAGCGCTAATCTGGACATCCTGTCTCAGCAGTGTCACTCACGTTGATGATGAGCGTCAGTGGCTCTCCTGGGTGGTGCTTAATCAGCTTTTCCTTGTTGGCAGTGAAGAACTGAGGGTCCTCCACGTACTCCAATATGAAGTGATCTTTATGAGGCTCCCCTTCCTCTTCGTCTGCCTCGCTGTCGAAGGAGGTGGGACTGTCGCCCGTGTAGGGGACTCCGTTCAAAAAGAACTGCACTGAGGTCTCCTGGGACTGGCTGGAGGCGTGAGATGGGCAGGTGATCATGGAGGGAGAGACCACTGTGCAGTGCTGAGGAAGAACCAGAGAAGACAAGATGGCTTTAAGTGAATCCAATGCACGATGTAGTTAATGAAATTATACCAGCTAATTACTCTCTTTTAACTGTCCATGTGTTCGTCTGTCTCAAAGAAAAAATGACACCTATGAATCATTAGATATATCGAAAGATTGATACAAAACAATCAATACCACAACAAACGTTAGTTTTATGGCTCAACAACTTCTGCTTTTTAAATGTATAAAATGAATTAAAACAAATATTTGTAATTATTTGTGAACTATCATTTGTTTCATATCAACATGAACTATCATATGTTTCTTTTAGACAGCGCCGGGCTAGCTGTAACCAATTCAATCCCCATGCTCAAGGAGAACAATACTGTTCTCTTTTCTATCATCTGCGAAATGGTAATACCCAAAGATGTCTAACTGTGTCCCACTTTATAAATACCCATGTACTATAATAATCTAACTAAAAACAGTTAAAACTGAAACAATTCATCTGTTTACTCACTGTTTGTCCAATTCCCAGCACCTGCATGGAGACACTCTGAACCAGATCAAAACCCTGGCCTGTCACTGTGATGGTCCTGCCACCACTGTGACACACACACACACACACACACACACACACACACACACACACAAAGACAGAGTGTCACATCTCAGCCATGAAAAAAATATTTCAAATTCCTGCTGGTATGCAAATACTTAGGGAAACTGCACCAAATCAAGAGAGAAACAGGGGACCAGATAATAATGCAAAGCAATTCAACTGCAACTGAAAATCCTCGCACGTCATCAAAGACATGCCGCTGCCCTGTCACACACATGCTGCGCTGTTTAACGCACAATGGGGAGAGAAATGCTGCACATCAGGATGATATTACAGTAATGACTTATGTCAGAGACTCTGGGTGGGAAACCACAGAGTCATCCAGCTTATGATATTTCCTAGATTTTGTTTTTACAGTGTATTTTTGTGTGTAGCAGTTTACATACCTGAGGAAGCTCTTTTTGGGGTGGATGAAGCTGATAGTGGGGTTCTTCTCATAGGTGTAGGTGGTGCTGAGCTCGACACTTTGACAGGGAAGGTTTTCAAACTCCACACACACTGCCACTGACTCAGTGTGTGGCTGCAAGGCTGGAGGCATGGTGCAGTCAATGGTCTCATCTGTTTTTCTACCAAAAAAAAAAGAGTGGAAAACATCTGTTTTACCACACATCTTGTAATGTTTACAAAGCCCTTCCAGTTAAAATCAATCATATTAGTGGCAGATTTTCATGTAAGAGCTTTTGGTTATACACATTTACTAAAAGAAAGGTTGGGACTTGAAACTTAGACCCTGAGTCAGACTAAACTTGACTTAAGCTTAACTAACATCAGACTTCTTGATGTTCTGAAAGAGAGTAATCTTCATGCAGGCCTTGCATTGCCCCACACAGCCCCACAGCTGTTGAATATTTAATTAATAGGACCATGCATTGCAAGCACTTGGTGCTAACTATGGGAAAAGAAAAACAAGTATTAACTTGACCTGGACTTGCATAAAAGACTTCAAAACACCCTCAAAGAGTACTCACTCTGTGATGAGACATTGCAGCGTGTTGTTGATCATGACTCTGATCTGAGAGCCAATGTCCAGGTTTTCCCCCATGATTGTCACTCTAGTCCCTCCAGCACGAGATCCTTTCCTCGGCTCCATGGAGAGCAGCTTTGGGACCTGAATACAGACGAGAGAACCAGCACATGACTAACAAGTTCTCATGTTTATCACTAGACGCCTGACAGCTTCTGTCACTGGAAAAGACAGGCTTACTCAAAATGTGTTTTGTGATCTTTGATGCCTTTCTTGACACCAAATACAATCTTTCCACATCCTTTGAGGTTCAAATGTGTGGTCTTTACAGATCAGCTGAGACAGCTGCTGACTACAAGAGTAAATTAGTGAAGAAAAACTGCAAAGACAGGCCGTGCTGCAGTATGTTAATATGCTGCTCAGGCCAACAGGCCTTTGGGCCCAAACTTGCAAGACAGCTATACTTTGTATGAAGTATGAAGTAATAATGAAAATGCAGACACATCAAAAATGCATGTACATGTTGTCATAAATGCACATGTAAACACATACACATATGCACACACACATAAAGGCTCCTCAGGCAAAGATGAATATCCTCATCCAGCTTGCAGCTACAAGCATCAGCATTCTTGCTCTTTCCAAACTTTCTATCCCCGCCGTGAACCTCGCCTCCAGGGAAACCTCTTATCCTCACTGACAGGATTCACTTCCTCCATGTGCGTGTATGGAGGAGACCTATTGTATGTTCAGGTCTAAGGGTGGACGTAAGGAGGCAGATGTTTCCGTCTGAAGGTCTGAGGAAGGAGATGCAGTAGAAGCACATATCCTGTCTCCAAAACTGTTTTCCCTTTCTCCCACATCTTCCCTCTCAACACCTTGCACCAAAAAAAAAAAAACCCTTGAAAGAAGCTCAAGGGAAGTTTCCACAACTGAATAGCATTATTTTTTTTTTGCTATTTTGGACCTTCCTCATCCTTCTGTATTAAAGAAAGGCTTCGGTATCTAGGTGATTTCTCAGTAGGATGACTCACACACAGAGGTGCCTGACATTGTAGACTATTCCAGGACTGAATATAAACAAGTCTTTGTCTTTAAACAACAAGAAACAAAAGGCTAACATGTGCGTTTCCACTGGCTGAATGCTCTTAAATCCAATGGGAGAGTGTGGGTTGAGGTCCATTAACACAATACTGGCTAGCTCGTCTGGCCCAGAGATGAATGTAGAGCAGAGGGACATTCCAACAATCGCCATATTTGTTTTTGCTGGCAGCGAGTGCAGGATGACAATGGCGCTTAGTTTGCTGGTCAGATAAACGTTTGAAGATTCCCACACATTCACATTCCTGAGAATCATAAAACGCATCTGTTAACACTCAACTGACACACTTGGGAGGGCTTTCCCAGTGGGGAACAAGAACAAGACAGCACAGAAGAAGAAGAATGTGGAGGGAGAAACAGATAGCAGGAGAGTCGATGTCTTGAGAATACTTACTAAGTATGAGAAGGTCTCCTTAGACGTCCCCATCCCACTCTGATCCACATCCACTTGGACAATATCTGTCCTTTCCTGAGAGGACGGCCCAGTGACACAAAGCAGCCTGGGGAATAAAAAAAAAACCAGAGATGCCTCATTGTATGATTGCCAAATAATATTATCAGAGATCATTTAATAAAAAAACACACTATAAAATGATAAGAAAACACAAATATGCACCTTATTGGATTCATAAATATAATTAATTACATAGAGAGGTGCTCATCGCAACTTGCAAGTGAATGGAACCAAAATTAAGATGAAGAAATAGATCTTGATCAAAGCTGCTCAACAAAGACTGCTAATTAATCAAGGAGAATGGTGGATATGAAGTAATTCATCATGCCCTATTGCATTTACATATGGAATCCAATAAAGCCTGGCAATATCAGAAATCAGGAGATGTAAAGTTCAAAGCTCCCTCAGACCAGATGTGTCTAACCACAGAGGAGATTAAGGGGTTGCTGAGGATCGTTCTCTCGCCTCCTGGCTGTGATTAAACCTTGTGTCATCAGAGCAGTGCTCTACAGGGACGTCTCATATTAATGACACTGTGGTGTACCGAGGCACAGGGATCTACTGTTCTGGGGCCTCACTGGGATAAATGTACTGGAGGGGAAGCACAACCTTTAACACCTCATATGTTCCCCCTCCAGCCTGACACCCTGTCGGTTTATTTAGTCAGGTGCCGGGTGCTACAGTGGTTATACATTCTCAGCAAGTGATCAGATGATTGACAGAAGGATTGTGGGGAATTTAGATTACAGCAAAGAGCTGTGTTTCACGTAGGAGGGCCTGGCAGGACATATGATAAGATGAGGCTGTGGCTGGACAGATTTGGGGTCAGATTGCCAAGTTCAAGACCACAGAGGAAGCTGTGAATGAGTCTGTTCATTTAGGTCTTAAACTACTCAAATAAATTCTTAGGTAAAAGCTAGTCAAAGTTTACTTTAAACACAAATGTCCTTCAAAGCCTTCAAGCTGTCAAAAAACAACCTGTAGTATTTGTTGATAGCAGGGTCTATTTTTCTTCTCATCAGGTTAAAAATGACACTACATTGAAATTACACTCCTGTCAGTTGTGTGCCATCGGGGCAGAAGCACACCTGACTAAAGAAAAGCCATCATTTTACAGGCTTGGATTGAGAAAAAAGAAAGGGTAAAAAGGATAAATAAAATGAAACATGACTACTCAGACATTCACGCCTGAGGGAAATCATCAGAAAATTGGAGAAGATCAGCCTGAACCTGTAGTGTTGCTTCAGGCTTTAATGGATTCATTCTTCAAATCAAACTGATACACCAACAATACATCACATCATATGATATGTGCTATTGAAACATAATGTTGAGGATTTTTCTGTGCTAATAAAAACCATAAAACAAATGATTGTTGAAGAGTGTAGTAAGAAATAAGCTGATTTCACCCTCTAGCATTTAAACAGGTGTTTCAGGCTTTCTGTGCGTTTCACAAGAAGACCAGTTTAATAACTGTTTTAAAGTAATAAATAGAATGATAGAAAGAATAAAGGAAACCAAGGAGGAATGATATGGTGTCTGTTATTCAGAAATATCAATACAGTTCGCCAGGGGGAGTCTCTTATTGATCATTCAGTAACAGTTTGACCTATGAAATGTTGAAAAATAGCGACAAATTGTCTTATTCATTTTTGTGACTCACATTTCTTGTTTATTAAGCCGACAGTAATAACCAATATAAGTATATTAATGTCCCAATAGTAGCAAAGACAGTAAAAGTTAACTGTTGCAACAATGCCTGTTTGGGTTTATAGTTGTGTAACAAATATCCATAAACTTAAAGTGTCAAAACCACACAGAAGAAGAAGAAAGTTAAGACATTTAAAGGCTCTCTTTTTTTATATTAGGAAACCGAATTCCATATTTTTACTCTTTTGCACATCTGATGTCTGTATTTGTGTGTGTGACCGAGTGAAATGTTGACGCGTTGTACAGCAGACAGAGACTGGAGCGACCTCTGCTCCACATTCCAGCACTGCAACACAGTATCAATATTATGTGTTTCAGAGGGTAATATTTTGTCTCATTTAAAGACATTTCTGATTATTTCCCTTGAGTGGACAATCATCATCAGCAATCAGATCTTGTGTGTGTGTGTGTGTGTGTGTGTGTGTGTGTGTGTGTGTGTGTGTGTGTGTGTTGTCTGACGTGCAGCTAAATGGACAGGGCGAAGGCCACTCGAGGCGCGTATTAGAATGAGCGAGAGGGCAGCTTGGAGGACCTGAGCTTAAAGTGCTCCAGTAAATGAGGTGTGTCTGGACTGACTGTGCCAATAATTAAAATGTTGACACCGGGTGAGTGGAGCGCAGCCTCTCCACGGCTGCACATTTTCCTTTTGGCACACAGATGTGAACTTTCACCTTTCCGCACACGAACAGACACCTGTCTCAACAGCCCTGGTAAGTGAGGTCACAAGCACAAGTGTGTGTTATTGGGAGTTTGTATGAATGGTATTTTTTCAAGAGCCAGTTTAGGTCTTCTCAATGATGATATTATTGTGCAACATAATTATTGCATCTTCACCGCTGTGGTATAAAAAGATATAGATTTTTAGAAGATTCATTTGTTGGGCTCTTTGCATTAATTGAGGGCGGCTGTGGATCAGTGGTAGAGTTGGTTGTCTCTCAATCGGAATGTTTGGGGTGTGATCAGCTGCTGCAGCCACATGTCCGATGAGTGAATGGGTGTAAATGGGTAGGTGTGACAGGCGGTGTAAAAGTGCTTTGAGTAGTCAGAAGACTAGAAAAGCGCTATACAAGCTCAAGTCCATTTAACATTTACTATTTGATATAATAGCTTAGAGAGACGGGAATGTGGGGAGAGTGAGTGGGGGATAACATACAAGAATGAGCGCCAGGATTGGGAATTGAACCCATGACAGTGGGATGAGGACTGTAGCCTCTGTTCATGGTGCACCGGCTCTACCCACAGAACTTAACCAACACCCCCAATATACTTTATACTAATTTAGGGTTAATGTTAACGGCATGAGATTCGATCATATTTATTCAAATATACAGAAGGTCCCAAAAAGGAGAAACATAAACATGTAATTGTGTTCATGTGTGTGTGTGCTCGTGTGTGTGCATATGTGTGTGTGTGTGTGTGTGTGCGTATGTGTTTGTGAGTCAAATTTGCAGACATTGTCAGATGCAATGACGTGTTATGATTTGTCAATGCCACTTCCAGCTACCAGGATATGCTCTGCTGTCATAACAACCTGCCTTGGGAGCCAATGAGGAATGACGACACGAGATGAGAACACCCCGGGAGTGAAATGCGATTCGCTGTTTTTGACATGTGTGTTTTTGGAGAATGTGTCAGGCAGCTGGAGTGACAGGTAAGACCCGCAGGTCATCCTCCAACTGGTCTTAATACAATGACTGGCTTCAGTGGAGCACGACCAGATAAACAGTTCCATTCAAGGAACATTACAGGTACTGAATGGAAGTTTGGATGTAACCGTGGAGTTACCGACTTCCTCTGAGCTCTGTTACGCTGGTGTCAACACGGGGTCCTGCCGTCTCCATGGTGACAGTGTGATGGTCCCTGAGCTACGGAGGGATGGCAGTGGAGTCACTTAAAATGAGAAGTGTGCTGCATAATAATATTTGAGAAAATTAGCCTCATGAATGCATGAAAGGGAAACTATGTGGGGATGGTTGATGTTCTATTTACTGGTGCACAAGTAAGCAGGGTATCATTTGAGGACGGGAGATTTTTATTGAACTCAAATAGATGTGGTTTAGACTTGTGGTACCTTTCAGCTTTTAATCATGTACTAAATAGCTTTTCATGGTTATATCAGCGGTATAGATTTATTTATTTATTCTAAACACTCTAAGCTCATTGTCTGTGTGAGGTGATAAGGTACCAAATGAGATTTTACACAGGAGATAAAGAAAGCTATCCGATCAGCTCTATGTGTTTGTGTCTAATATTGAGTTTGTGTTTACAATAACTAACTGAGAAGCATCTCCGTCTCACTCTTAATGACTTCTTTTACTTCCTTATGCATATTACAGATCACTTGCCACTCTACCTTACAGATATTTGTATGAACCTAGTCTGGTACTAATTAAATATATGTATATTTTACCTCGACATTTCGGTTTAGATTTTTACTTATATGATCATGATCATCATCAATTGAGCTATATTCTTACTTAACCTCCTCGAATGGACAGTAAAAGAAAAATTGATATACATACCTTTTGTTTTATTTGTCATTCTTCTTCCTAATGGGCTTACATTACTCATTGTGCAACATTGCAGATTGATTAAATATTCAGTTGTGTTATGATAAGAGCAGCTTTGTAGCCTGAAGCAGAGATGGGCTACAGATGTCTACTAACATCATGTACTCCTGATTATTTTCATTTAAATTTCAAAATGTGTAGTTGTGCATCCAAAACATTTTTGCCTAACACAGCTTCCTTCTGAGCCACAAAAGTCTCATCACGTTTTAAATTTATTTATTTATTTATTTTTTTTACATATACAGAGGTACACATAAAACTTGAGTCCCTTAAGATTTATTGTAGCCTCTGTATTATACATTTGGGACAGCTAATTTAACTAAATCAGTCAGTGTAATCTCATTGTTAAGTCTTTCTTTATTCTCTGATTCAGTCATGCTCCCTAACTGTGTAAAAGGCTGAGATGGATATGACAGAATTTATTCTGTGACAAGGATTTCCTTGTTCCCCAATTCTGCCTGCCGTCCAGGCACCTACCGTCATGTTACAATTACAACAATAGTTTAGCAGCAGCAGCATCATTTCATATTTAGCAGGGTTTTACATAAAGATAATGTTTGTGAAATGCTCTGATTTACTCTTGGTTGTCATTTTGAAATTGCAGATGATTCTATATGTAATCAATTAAGTACCTGGGATAGGAGTAAAAAGAATCCCACAGCGCTCGGTGCTAAGCTTGAGCAAACACTGGAGCTCTGTTGACTTAAGCTTATATGTGCAAATTTGTGAATCATTATGCAGCAGTATGTTCCAGAACTTACTCTACGGAGACGGTGTAGAACTCAGGCACGATGGCACATGCCGTATCTCCAATAGAGACCTTTACGGCTCCAGCCCTCCGGCCCAGGTTCTTGCCCTGTATTGTCAGCAGGGTGCCTCCCTCCACTGGACCCCTCTGTGGAGAGATCTGACAAAGACAAAGGGAATGTAATGAGCAGGGAGAAACAAAAGGCTCTACAAAATACTGTGTAATATGCATTATAAATTAGAGCTCATTGGGAGATTACCACCCTCAAACTGTTCCACTAAAGTCGGGTGATAATAACGTGACAAAGAAATAAGAGAACAGAGATGCTGCCTCTGATGTTGACATGGAGTGTGTGGCACACGGGGAGATAAGGACAAGTGGCCTGTGTAAGTGTTCTTCTATTGAAGACCGAGATCTAACAGAATAGACACACACACACGCACACACGCACACACACACACACACACGCACACGCACACACACACAATCACAGCCACACACGTACACGTACAAACAAAGCAGACTCTTAACTGTGCCAGTCTAAGACTCTTCAGCCTCTAATCCTCTACAGCACATGCAAATAAAGAGCAGGCTAAGAGCCCCCTTCACTTCCCACAAGAGACAGGCGGAGTGAGAGAGAGAGGGGCTGAAGAGGCGAGGTGGAGAGCACGGCAGAAAGGTGGATGAGTGGGGAGGCAATTTAGGGAACTGAGTGTCGAGAGGAGAGTGAATGCTGATGGTGGTGGTGAGAGAGCAAAGCCTCAACAGGGGAATTAATGCACAGTGCTACTCCCTTTCATCTGTTTTCCTGCGTCTGCTCTGTCAAATTCCTTAGCCCTATTTCTGCTGTTGTTCAGAGGCACACTCTCATGCATCATTTCAGCCCTCGCCCTTTGGTCTCTTAACTTTCCACTCAGGAGCACCGGAAAAGAAAAGGAGAGGACCGTCCCCTCTCCAATCACCACGGAAACACGGTCTTTCAGATAGCATCTGAGACGCCCAGACAGAAGCAATCTACCCTCATCTACCCACAGTAGCATAGCTAGCTCAGCAGCACGCATGCTTTTCTGAATGACCCCCCCTCGCTGAGTCGAGGTCAGTGTGACCCCTCTGTGTTATTAGCCCGGCTCCGGCTCTCTCCGACACCGAGCTTAAGAATGAAAACAGCACTTCTGTTTGGTCTAGGTGAGAGGACAAGGCTCGGCTCTGCGATCAGATAGTTTAAAGCTCACCAGAGTGACAGCAACAGATAAATAAACATATATTTCCCAGCTAAAAAGAAAAGCGTGTGTTACTTTTAATATCGTGTGAAAACAAACTGCTGGAAACCAACCCAAATTTTTCTGTGGGATCTACACCACAGGATGTGATGCAAATGTTTTTGTAGTATATTAAGCTCTTGTGACCACCCTGTGCATTTGCTCCCTTTGACAAAAACACACATTCTTTTATAGGCTCATACAACATACATTTATGCGTGAGCACCGATGCACAAGCATGTCAGACATGCACATTAAAGCAGCCACCCTCTCTACCTAGCTCAGCAGTAAGCAGAGTTATTTATTATTACTATGCATCTTATAGCACCTAGTATGTCTCCGCGGTGCCATTGAGCATTGACATCAGCATCAGCTGGCACGCTTTTCATTTACACCTCTTAGAAGAGCGTGAGTCTTGATTTAGAGCAGAAACTCTTCCAGGCCTCCAGGGAGATCACACGGTGTGAATGTGAAGAAAAAAAAAATCCACAAGGAATGTTGGAGCCATTAAACAGGTTTGATTTATTCTACATCCCTCTCTTTAAATAAAAAGAACTCCAAATATGTTGCAGCAACTTGCATCAGATATGACCATAACTTACAAAATCCATATGTTTTCTTTTTGTTCTTTTTTTTTTTTTTTTTTTGTTCACTTTAAAGCCAGAGCTTTTATCTCCCTCTCCTCAGTCCAGTTCTCCTGCATCACTCTAATCAAGAAGGACGTGAGGACAAAAACAGGAAAAGGCTTCTCACAATACTGTACCCTTCTCCACCCTTTCTCTGTCCAAATAGCTCTCCGTCCTCTCTCCCAGACCATTCAAGTCTCGACCAGACCCCTCTGGTCTCCCTTTCTTTTCAAGTCGTGGATAAACCATGTTTGGCAGTTCCTGTTGTTGACTCTGACGTACCCTTAATCAATGTTTTTTTAAGCAGCGGACTAGCCCACACAGAACATGAAAATAGAGGGCCCGTGGAGATAATAAATGTCTCCATTGTCTTACGTCACGGCGCTGAATCGAGAGCATCTTTCACAATTACAGCTGTGTGGCAAAGTTAAGGGGGGGGTAATGAAATCCTCCTACATAATATTGATATTTTGGGTGCCGCTATATTGTAAAAGAGATTGCATGTGACAAAGCACGGCAAGAAAAACGCATATAATTATCAAAGCTGTACACACAGTCACTAAGACTATAAAACAAAGAGCTGCTGCCGTGTGTGTGCGTGTGAATGTTTACAGAGAGACGATATTTTTCCTCCGTAAGCCGGAGTACTCGGGCTCAAACCCCTGTGGATTCTCTGGGAAAACATGGCTGCCAAAGAATTGCATCATACACCCCACAGAATCACAGCCCCAGTATCCTTTCCGCAGCCCGCTCTCCTGAGAAGGCCAGTGGGAGTGTGTGTGTGTGTGTGTGTAAATGTTTGTGTGTGTGAGAGACAGAGAGAGAAAGAGAGAGAGAGAGAGAGAGAGAGAGAGAGAGACAGAGAGAGAGACAGAGAGAGAGACAGAGAGAGACAGAGAGAGAGAGAGAGAGACAGAGAGAGGGGTAAGAGAGAGCACTACAACAATGGTCAACCCACACATATGGAATCTCAGTCCAGCTAACTTCAGTCACATAAGAAGTCCACACAAGTTTGACTCTCACAGAGCATCCTGTTAGTCACAGTGCGCTGACAGCTACAAAGAAAGAGGGATGATCGTGAATGCTTCAATATGGCCTATTTGTGTGACGCACATTTTGCCTGTGTGTGTATGTGTGTGTGTGTGTTTATGTTTTTGCCTGCTTTGTTCTGCTTGCTTATTCTCCTGGGCCGACCAGGTTTTATCTACAGGAAGTTCAGGCCGACTGGGTCTCATGTGAGCCGTGCTTCCCATGACCGCCTACCGTGGCTGTGCTGATAGAGGCGTTCGGTAACGGGAGAAAAAAGGCTTGGAAGAAGCATCTAAACACTTTCCCATTCCAGTTGGACAAACACATGAATATGATTATTTAAATGAGCTCTGTAAACCGGCCCTGACAGGTAATTAAGATGACCATTGTGACATGACCGCAGTCAGATCCTGTGTTAGATAAACACTCTCTTATTCCTTTTTAGCAGTGTGGTTTTGCTCTTATTGTGGTCAGAGATCTAAAGCCCCTCATGGTTCTTGTTTGCTTTCTTTTACTTTCTGTGGTTTTCCACACAAAGAACCCCACACGTATAGCTTTCCACACATACTGTACTGTAGTCACACAGGGCAGAAGGTGTTCCCATGGCCTCCTGAGTGATTGCAGATCGACTCCCAAATGTCCCCCGAGGGCTGCTGCTAAGTGAATGTTAGTGTTATTACTGAGTGAACCGCTTTAATGAGACTCTATTCAAACGCTCCCTGAGCAGCTGACACTGGAGATAGGGGCACCACACCATGTGACTGACCCCCATGATTCACCATTTTATAACCTGAAAATAGAGCCTGGAGGCGGTGGAGCATGTAAGAGGATGAATGCAAACATTTGTAGCCAACATTTGTGCATGTTTAACTTGTGATCTTACCTTGTGGATCTCAGGAGCCGGACATTGATCCCTGATGGGCTGGCAGTCATCCCTTGGCTTACAGATGTTTTCACACCAGCCACAGAGGTGGCCCTGGTCCTCCCGGCCCCAGCACTGGGAACAGTCCGAACTCCCAACCCTACAGTTGTACACTTCCACTAGACAGAGATGAGAGGTGCAGGAGAGATGGTATAGGTAATTATCATTTAAAAGCAGCATTTCTTATCATTGTTTCCATGTCTAGCGAATGTAAGGCAACAGACTTCTAAATTACTTTTTTGTAACCTCATATGAACCACATGGGCTGTATGTTCTGAATAACAAGCATTTGCAGAATGATACATTCATAGCTATAAAAATAAACCAGGAAAAAAGGGCTAATGGAGTCGGGGAGAACAAAGCCAGCAAGACACAGATGATTATGGTCTTGTTCCAATGTGCCTCCCAGTGCTAAGTCCCATTTGTATCCCTGCATGCATCTGCATGCATTTGTGTGCATTTGTGTGTGCCTGCATGTGTGCGATAAATTTAAATTTGATGACTCTGCATGGTATGAAGAAACTGTCATGTCCTCTAACAGCTAACAGAGTTTCTGGCAGCGGCACAGGGCTGTTGTTCACATGCTAGACACATGGACTGTGAACAGCACATCTGGGACTGGGAAAGGCTAAGATTGGCTTGTATATGCACTGGAACAACATGCCAAGTTCTACAACATGTTCATCACTTTTCATTATCTCACTGTTGTCATGGAGCTCATATTGTATTTTGAACAATACATGATGACATGGCCAGTAAGAGCCATTGCTAACACCACAAATTGCAGTTCCCTAAGTTCTATAATCACTATGTGAAATTAGACGGTAGCAGAATATGATATTATGGGAAATTACTAGTTGTTGGGAAATTACGTGTTGTATTACAACAACTACTATTATTGTAAGTGAAAGGCAGTCTAACACCATTTGTCCCCGTAAGCGGTTCTTTATTTTTCGCCAGGTTTAATTAAATCCTCCATCTCATCAGAAAACATTTGTGTAGAGGTGAAATGCATTCTGGGAGCAACAGTGGCAGCTATGTCAGTTTTTCCCTTGTTTTTTTGGCGAGAGTCTAATTACGATGCAAATACAGGAGAACTCAGCAAACAACTGAAGCGTGAAAGATGATTTTTCATTTGTTTTCTTTCCACATGTCTAAATTATCATGAGCACAATGTCGTACCTCTCATGGGCTGAGGGCTGTCGACAAATATATTCTCCCCATGTCCACTGAAGTATCCTTTCCTCCTCAGGTTGAGTTGGTAAATCTGACTCCTCTGGTAAGTAGACAGCTATGGGGACAGAAAGATACAAGACTTCAATTAAGCAGGTATATTATGTGTCATTTAGCCTTTAAATGCATTGGTGTTTGAGATAATAATGGGTTCCAACAATAATTCCAATGCAAACAACTTACAAGCAAGGCTCAAAATAGACAATAATGCAAAATGCTTAAACTGAAAATGCTGCAGCAACTGAACAAGAACTTAAGAACTTCTGAATTTGGACTGGGAAACTATTTTTGAGTAGTTATTTTCTGGTAGATAAATCTTCATACTTACTGTTACTCCACTACACTTGACAGTTGAGCTGTTGAGCCACATGGCCTCATATCGCTGCTCTCTCCCAAAGTCACACTCCAGCTTCTCCCCCTGTTATGCAGATCACTTCTTTTAAACAATATGCAGCATTTCAACAAAAACAAGCAGTGCAAATGTGATATTATATTTTTTTGAGAATGAGATAACTACAGCTTTAGTACCCAAAATGAGAGAAATGAAGTGGGCCTCCGAAAGAAATGCTCTTTCAAACACGTCTGGTAACAATTGAAAACTCCTAAATTGAACCAGGAAACTGAAATAACCCACAATAATTGTCCCTGCCAGGGAAAGATGCAATCTATTCAAAATTCATATTCATAAACATCTGGACTCCCACACCTTGGCGAGTCATCTGGGAGCCATGGTAATGAATATGAATTCATTCTTTCTAAAATCAGAGCCCTGAGTTTAAATGAGCCAGGATAATGTGAAGACCATAAAGTAGCACAGATAGCTAAGAGCAGTAAAAGATAAGTATTAAAGTGGGAGGAATCATTTGTCTGTGAATCCAGCCATCTTAAATAGGTCTACTTTGATCGCTCTCTCCATGACTTTGCTATTTTCTGTGCTCTCTGACACCAGAGACGTTTTTTTTTTTTTTTTTTTTTTTTTTGCATCTGGCAGTTTACTTCTGCCTTCCAAAACTCCCCAACGTACCACACAATTTTCACTGTTCTGTCCGAGTCACAAAACTCCAAAATAAACTCACAAGCATCTGCTTGTTGCTAAGCGCTTAGGAATGACTGTTTATCAGTCTTGAGTCCAAATCATTTATCTCCGTTTTTTTGTGTGGGAACCAAAACTTCATTTACAATGTATTCCAGAGAGGTCAGAGAGATGCTGCAGCCTTTTGGAAAGCACCAATATGAGTGACACCGCACTTCCTGCATGTTGACTTTCTGACAAGATGAAGACGTTATCCAAACAGCTTCAGCTTGTAACTAACTTTCACAATGAAGACAAGTATAAATAGCCCTACACTTTCAGCTTGTCCTGAGAAACTGTGTTTGTGTGTGACCGTGTGGTTCTGTATGTGACTCAGTGTCTGTCACCATGGCAACACACCAGGAGAGGGCTGGAAAGACCATGCGGGGTTAGGCGTGTGACTGACCACGCCTGGCAACTAGTCAGCACAGGAATTTTTGAAGATACAAGCCGTGTCCTTATCGGTAATGCAGAATCATCGTCTGACTCGCTCCGCGTGGATTAAGGATAAGAATAAGGAGTTTAAAAAACTGATCTGGGAGGACTAGGCGATTCTAAAACGAACATATAGTGGAATAAAGCCCCTGCCGCCTGAGTGCTGCCTCAGACCGACTGCACATTGTACTGTGTGCTGTGCTGACGGAGGCACAACTCAGCTACTCACAGTTTGATACCAGATGCATAGTGGGCCCAAACAGCTGAGCAGAGAGCAGCATAAGCATAAAGACACACACTCATTCCTCACTTTCATATCTGTCTCACAACATGAACATCACACACGCACACACTCAGGTTTCACTCATTCATTGACCTAAATAAAAGCACACAAATTTCCATCTGTGTTTAACTCGGCTTGAAGCTAACATGCCATATGCTTCGGTTTAATTCCAATCATTTTCACAACATGCATTTTGGACAAAGTCCAAGTCCAGCTTCATAGCTGTAGGGTTGTCTGGCGTACCTCCTGGATGTTGCTGAGGGACAAAGTGAAATCCTGAGCCATTCCTGATGGTGATGGAGGAACCTCTGAGGGGACCAGGCTGGGACAGGAAGCTGCATTCTGTGGTGAGATAGGGTTTGGGGGGGGGCAGGAAGTGACATATAGGAGTTAAGGAAAACAATGGCTCTACAGCACACATCCGCAACCCAAAATACCTGTCCTGTTTATGTGGAGGAGGAGGAAATGAGGGGGTAAAGTCTCGCTCTGAGGGAGACAACAATAGCTTCAAATAAGGAGACGATGAGGGATTAGAAAAACAGACCCACCGGACACAGTGATGGGATCAGCAGAAACACAAAACTCATCTCCTCTTCTCCTTATGACCTACATTACAAAGCGTGCTATTAATGGAGCCTTCTCATACCATAAATGAGATCAAATTTAAATAACAAAAAGTGACAAGGAAAACATGAGCCTCTTGTGCTTTGATATACTTTTATTTTTTTGTATCATGGGATCTGAAACTACACGCACGACTAGGATTTATTTGCTAAAAAAAAAAAAATGCAGTGATGTCTTTATTGCAACAATTGTTTGACTAAAACAGCTCTCTCCCTTTTAAGGGGGTCTCCTGATAAAGCTGGCAATAAAACACTTTCAGCATAAGAGCAAGACCATTTAACCAGCAGATGACCAGAGGACTGTGAGTCACATCCTATCCCCTCTCACTGGGACCAAAACTGTCAGACCTCCATGTCCTCAGGGCAGGAGTCTGCTGGGAGGATGCCTCCTCACACAGGTCATGGGACCTGGCTGAGCGATAAAACTCTGTGGGGGACTGTAGAAATATATAACAGCTGACATATTGCTGGGTTGTCATGAACATAAGACAGTAGTAGCCGGGGAGTTGCAGTTTGTTGCAATGTGACTATTCTTGCTTTGAATAATTTTCCCCAGTTTCACAGCTTTTTTTTTTCTGCGCTTCTGCCAACCCTTTTACACTATTTGTCTGTTTGTTTTTAAGAGTAGTTTACACCCTCATGGGGCTCCATAAACATACATCTCCATAATCCATTTGTACAGTCACCTACTTAAAATGAAGGGTTGTATGAGCCGTAGCTAAAAATGTAGGTGTAGATTTGTCACTTCTCTGGCAAATAGCAGTCTTGACATTTAGTAATAATTCCCTTTAAAAAAAAGACAATGTACTTTTCCACATGTGGGGGCATTAAATAAATCTGCCAAAAGCTTTACAGGAGGTCTGAGGAGCTTTAAAATGGTACAATTCCCTGTAAAGAGTCTGTTAAACTGAAACCTCCTGAGATTTTATAGAGGGTTGCAACATTTCTTCATTCTGTAGTTTAGGCACTTAAAAACCTCAGAATGAATTACAATGATTGCTCTTGCCTAACCAGTCTGGTCTTAGATCATTGCAGCAAACTTGAAGTGGTTGGACAAAGGAGTCTGGATTATATTTGAGGCTCTGACTAGTGGGGTCTTAATATTAAGAGATTTCCCAGGTGTCTGTTTGGTTGATGAATTAATAAAAAAACAAAGGATTTACTCACCTCCAGCAGGTTTGGCTTTGACTCATCTTTATTGGAAACACAAAGGTGGTTCTCTTGGTCCCAATAACACTTCCACCTGGTGCTCAGGCAGCTCAGACATCTATCATAGACACACACAAGTACATGGAAAGAATTCAGAAACAAGGCTCAAATGTATCGAAGTCTGGCCTGTTTCCTCCCCTATAATCTGTTCCAATGAAGTGATAAATACAGTTATTTAAAAAGTTGCTACCTCTGTAACACAAACTCTGAAGTTGGACTGATTACAGGCTTCAGAGTTTAGTTTTAATAAAAGGAAGTAATGATTAGTCACAGTAGCAGACACATTTATTCCACAGTTACAACACAGACGGCCAGAAGGTCAAACTTGGTCAATTCTGTAGAGATGAAACAAAGCGCTTCTCTATAAACATCTAGACTGCCAAATGTTGATGCGTGTGAACGCTTTTGCCGGTGTTTCTGTCTTTGTGAGTACCATTTTAGGTTTTACTCAATCACTGAGCACATTTTGGCAAGTAGGTCCTTAAGCAAACAGATCCCTGACTCCATAGATAACTCTTACTGATTTGTTCTTGAAGGACCCACATATACAGTGTAGGGACATGCTTCCTCTGGAAACAGTTATTGCCATTTTATATCAAGCGGAAACCTCTGTTGTTGAACAATAGAGCCAGTGCAAAACACTGCAGTTCCTCAGGTATCTACTTGAGACTGGCTCAAAAAGCCTAGAAAAACCAAACCCATGGTAAAGTCTAATTATTTACAGTAGAAAAAAACACATTAACAGCCTGGTACAAAAAGGTTAAATGGACTAATCATTTCTTAATTGGATAAAACTTTATTTTATAATACTTGAATATGTTAAGGCCATTAGTTTTGCATATGTGGAAGTGTTGTAGCTGTTTGCCAGGGAGCTTAAGGCCCGCCTCAGCTCCACTGCTTTTTCGGTTGTTCAATTGATCTCAAGTTAGCGATCACATTTCCATTATGACGACCGCCAATAATGGACTTAAAAGTCTTTTCCAAAATCAGTGGGGGAAGTCACTGAGATTATGTTCATGTTTTATACAATCTGTTTTACATGTAGCATATCCTACAAAGATTTTGCTGATATCTAAAAAAAAAAAATGATGTATGAGCTTGCAAATGCACAAAATGTAAGAATGCATTAGCATGAGTTGCTAGCGTTAATTTATTCAAAGCTCCTGTGAGAAACTTTTAGTTTTTACGTCCTCCTGTAGACAAAGCAGTTCATCTTTTCTCTTTTCTTTGCTTGTCCTGTACATGTGTAAGAAGTGTTTTCTCATGAAAAAAAATCATCCTGCTGTCTTTTAGAAGTCAAACTTTTGCCCTGGAAACTGTGGACAAAGTCTGTTCCAGCAGCGTGCTGTGACCCACTTTGTCTGTCACCTACCCCCCGGCAACGGTTACAGACTCAAAAGATTACTGTATAGATAAAAACTATCTTTATTGTGATCGCGTGTTTGCTTTTATAGCCCATAAAGATGCTTCAGTGTTATTTTCAGTCTGTTTCATATCAAACTAAAACCTCCTCATTGGGGCTCTAAAATTTCAAACAATAAAAAGACTTTTGTTGTTGCAGAAACTAACCTTATGTCATGTTGCGTGGGTACCTAAGCAAGAAACTTCTCACTTCTTGTCCTTTTATTTTACTGCATCTCTTCAATAAAGTTACATTCATGCGATCGATAGAAGTCTCTCCTTTTTAAAAGCCCATTTGAACAAAACAGGAAAAAAGATGACACAAGATTTAGGAGGTAAAAAGGCAAAATAAAATTACCATAAAAAGTCAGTTTTATGAGAATGTCTCTTCTCTAGAGCTAAGGCATTAATTTGGTTATTAACATTTTACGGTGACGGTTAGTGGCCAAGGCTGTCAATGTTTGTGAAACGAGGTTTGAGCTTTGCTCATCTAGAAGATATTTAACCCCTACAAAGTGACTTTAGGGCCAACAAAAAAAAGTCTGTTCATATTCTTTATTGTAACCATATTCAAATTGTATGAAAATAAATCTCAAAGCCAACTTGTTCCCCTTCTCATTGAGCTCCATTGTTACTCATAAACTATTTCTGTCCAACTTTACTCTCACCCTATATACTTTAAAACAACACAATGTAGCTGTAAGAAAATAAGTGTACAGTCGTCCCCATTCTGATTTGACCAGTTACAAGTAGTTCCTAATATTTAAGATAGATACCTAAAAAGATTGAGCCATTTGTTTGAGTTTTGTTTTTCTACGTTTTTGAGATATTTTTCTCTGAGATTTATGACATCACCCCGATATAAATATCTCTGAAATTCTGCTCTGTTGTGATTTGGGTGATCTGTTTTCTAAGATTAAGGCTAGAGTGAAGTTTGGACGTAATGTTGAGAAGATTAATGACAGTGTTCACGGGATATGGATTGTTAATCTATGCTGTGGATAGAATACCAATGTGTGTGTGTGTGTGTGTGTGTGTGTGTGGCTCCCAGATAAACGTCCTTAAGTGGAACACCTCCACTGTACAGCATGTGTGTGTGAGTCGAGTGTGTGTCACTGCCTGCAGGAAGAGACAGATGTCCCACACCAGGAGTGATAGTGCCTCCAGTGATAGTAACGCTCTGAGGGGGTCTTTAGACTAGAGGGGGAGTGAAGTTGGATGAGTGTAAATGAATGGAAAAGTGAATGTGTGTGTGTGTGTGTGTGTGTGTGTGTGTGTGTGTGTGTGTGTGTGTGTGTTTGTGTGTGTTCTGATTAGAAGCAGACGGCCCCCTCAAGGCTCTTATCAGTTGCAGCTTTTTTGTTTTCCCTGACTCCCTTTCTGTCCCACTGAAACACCTACAGTATACACACATGCTCACACACATGTTCACACATACACATAAAGACTGTTCACTCTCTCTCTGCTTGACCTAACACGGACAGTAAATACCCCTCAACACTGCCCACCCAAAGTCATAATGACCATGCTCACACACACGCACACACACACACTAAATACACAGTAAGGCTAACACTCTCAGGGCCTCTCAGTGGACACAGCGGTTAAACACACACACTCAATCACGTCTCTGTCAAAGACAAAATACACAAAGAATAAAAGACCAGTTTCAGGGGAGAGACAAGAGAAGGGGGGAGCAAACGGACGGAGACAGAGGAGGAGAAAGAAAAATTTGACTGACAGACATAGAAAGCAAATAAAACTGAGAAAACGGGAAAACCTTTGTGTTTGTGGCTGAGAGACATGAGAGAGAGAGACAGGCAGGGCAGGGCAGGTGAGGTGGTTGTCCTCCTCGGCTGCTTGGTGAGACTGGAATGCTGGATCGTCTGGTTGTTATTAACACTCTGCCTAGTGATCACTCTGGGTGATGGGTCATGGGTGAAATGTCTCATCACTTTCAGTCTCACAAACATAAACACACAAACTCCCAAAGAATGTTCCAAAAACAATCACAGCAGGTTCAAAACTAAAAGTTACATCAATGTTGCATTTCCTCAATGTAGGTGAGCTATTTTGAATAAAAAATAATACAATATTTTTGCCTAATTTTTTAAGGTTTTTTTTTTTTTTTTCAAAGGTAAATGATCTGAATATATCACAGCAGGACTGCTTAATGGAGATACTCCAACAAATTAGCTTTAAAGTTTTGTTGTTTGAGATCACCCTGATGATATCACTATGACATCATCATTGGGGTTACAGTCTAAGATTTTAAAAAGCTCCCAAAGATACGTAGCTACATGTAACAGCATATAAAGAATGTTTACAGCCTGAGCAATCTTTTCTTATTTAAGATTATTTTTGTTGGCTTTATGTGCCTTTATTAAATAGACAGGAGAGTGGATAGAGTTTGAAATCAGGGAGAGAGAGAGAGTGGGGAATGACATGCATAAAAGGGGCCAGAGCTCAGATTTCAACCATCATGTAATTGTTCATGTGATTTATCAAGTGAATATTATATAGCATTGCAGGGTTCAAGATATCTGGTAGTGGGGATCTGCTGCTTTCCTTTTGTTTTGTTTTTTTGGGGGGGGCCTTGTTTTGATATTTGTGTTTCACCATTATCCAAATTATAGATCAAAATATGCAGCGACTGTCTGAGACAATAATTGTTTGTTGATCAAAGTCACTGCTCCAAACGTTTCTGTTGCAAAATGGTTACGTTATATTTCCCACTGACATTATAAAACTTTTATTTTTGCAAAAGTAACCAAATGTTACACTGAAGTGTAATATGACAGTATTCTAGATAAAATGAAGATAGCATTGATTTACTCTTAAAACAAATTCTCATGTGATCTTGATGGTTTGCATAGACAATTAAGATCTCAATATCTTATCACTAAGAATGAAGCTTTCACATAAGTAAAGTGCTGGATTTCTCATAAGCCCTGAACAAAGAGAATTTATCTAGTTTCACTAAGTAGGTGTGGCTCATAAGACTCTTTAGGGATTATTAAAAAAAAACAGCTTGAAGTGATTAAAATCAGATAGAATATAGCAGCTCCGCAGTTTGCAGTCCAATGCTCATCCTGTGAGAATGGCACTTTGCTCATTATCACCTTCAACAATCCATCGTCTAATTTCACACTCCTGGACCTCGCTGAGCACTGACGCCCTGTGTGAATATTGGGTGCAGTCTTGCACACATGTACCTGCAACAGCTATGTTCACACATCGGGTTTTTTGAAAAAAGGGAACAAAAGGGACACACCCAAACGGTTTCGATCTGAGGGAATCAGTGAAACAAACATACATACACGCATGCATGCACACACACACACACACACACACACACACACACACACACACACACACACACACAAACTGATGCCCCTCTAAGCCTTGGATCTGCCCATCAGATAAAGTGGATCCTCTGACATGGTACAACATGCAGGAGGAAGCCAGCTGGATTGCCTCCAGCTATGAGAAAACGCTCTTTGTGACCAGGCCATACAAGTCGCAGTCCTTTACAAAAACAAACATCAACATGACCAGCTAGACATACACATCCAATTTCCTCTGGCTTAACATTTACAGCATATTAATCCCACATTTGATCCTTCACTGAAAAACCCTGAGCAAGCCGAACACACAATAAGCCCTCCAAGAGGACGTGTCGGCAATATTTACCCACTGGGGAATAAATAGAAAGCCGGCGAAAAAACATGAGAGGAAGAGGTTAGGGACAAAGCGGAGAGGCCTATGAGACAGAGCAGAGAAGCTATGCTGTTTTTTCAGCTTCCAGCTATTTGTACACATCTACAATGCTACAGAGACTCAAGCTGACATTTGCTATGGCTTGGCAGAAACCCCTCTGTTTAGGGGTAGATAGAATCGTAGTGTATTGGTATTTAGGTCGTTTGTTTTGAAGGATTGCACAGAAATCATGTAGCCAGTGGATAAAGGTCCATGCAGTTATGAAGGAACTACTTAGATCCTGTACTTAGAAAAAAGTTGCAACGAAAGGACATGATGTATAATCCAGTCTAAGGACTAGCCCTGCATCAAAAATCCTGCTTGAAATGTGCAGAAATATTATCAGCAACATGCACGTGTAAAGTCATTCTTCAGAAAAAAGTGCTGCCTCAGACTGATATATTTTTGGCTATTACATTATAATATTTTTTAACGCAAATGCATGAATCAGTATGCAGAATTTTACAATAACAGCTGGTTGAGGTAGAGCTCCATTCAACAGCTTCTTTTAGTCCAGAGGTTTCCATCTGTAAGGCTGTTCAAATCCAAATGGCAAACCTGAGACCTCAGGCCAGAGATAATTAGGAAAGGAACACAAACAGGTTTCTGCCTAGCAAATTTGCACTTCTGTTTTGGAATTTTCTCTATTTTTTAAAATCTTGTACTGGAAAGATGTGAGTAACACCTTGTCAGAAAAATGACAAGATGCCAACTGCTTTTTTTGTAAGGAGTCACAACTCAAAAGTGTTGGGAACTCTATTTTTAACCATGTAGTGCATTCTTATTAGGGTTTTTGTTAGGTGAAATCTTACTTTATACATAGTAGTTACTATGGTTGTCAGATAAATGTGGCGGTGGTGAGGTAAAAACTTCCTTTTGGAATGCAGTGAAGAAAAAGAATAAAGTAGTTCAAACATTTCTCAAGGGAATACGATGTACAAAGACTCAAATTTGTTGTTAAATATAGGACTTGAGTAAATGTATTTACTCTCCTCAACTGTGTGTAGAAATTTTATGCAAAAGGATCTGAATGAAGAAGCTAGTTGGCCATTCATCTCCAACACTAAATAAGCCAAGAATTTGGGATAGAAATCTGTGACAGGTGTGACTCACGAAGTCTTGGGGTGTATTGCTCCGGTCCTCTCACAGTCGTAGATGATGAAACTCCCAGATACCACAGATGTACCATTCACTTTTATCGCCACAGAAACAGTCAGATGATCTGAAAAAACAAAGGCGAGCAAACAACGGCGTATGTGTCAACCACTCGAGACGTTATCACTGTCATAACACACGCTAGACAGCAAATATCCTCACGCCACACTGATTTTTGAAAGACAAAAGGGGAAATTACATTTGTTCTTATACTGCTCCACATCTTTAATGAAAAAAATGCTTCACATACTTTAACTATACTTTTATTGTGTAGAGAAATATAGCTCGCAGCATTGGAACAGAGCCAAAATGCATGCCTTTGTTCAGTCTCACCTGTGCCGGGGAGGATGGGTTGGTAGTTTTCTCGAGGGAGGAGGGGGCAGGTCTGGATTTGGGCGGGCCCGTAGTCCAGGTGCACTGTGGCATCTGTTGAAATGCCAGGCGCATATTCACACTGCACCCGGGAGCCGACCAGATCAGGGACACTCCCATTTATCAGAATGCCGACATCCTGTTCCAAAAAGTAGATGAACATAAACTTAAAACATAGCTGATCTTTAATACGATGCAATGAGTAAACTTATTCACAATAATTTCACATACAGTAGCTGCCCTTGTTCCTTCGATTTCATGCTTATGTTGGGAGCACAAGTGCAGTCAAAATATTGTTGCCTACTTCTGCTTCATTGTAATGTAAGTTGTATTAATGTGGTGTATCTGACAATCGCTACCATTTCACAACCTCAGGCGGGACATCAGGCTGTACAGTATTTTTAAAAACTAGTAGTTAAAGCTAACTGTTAATCAACAGTTAGCTTTAGCATTCAACCAATTCTTTTCTAAATGTAACCAGTAATTAACTAGTAAAAGACCTTTGCTATAACATCCTGTAACTACCAAATTGTAAAACTAGCTTACAGCCCCTTCCTAGCTAACAGAAATATCAGCTAGCTGGATGCTAACATTAGCTATTGTCTGACTGTAGCTTAAAGTTTATTAAATGTGTGGTTTTTAACTAGAAAATATATATGGCCCTCTAATCCTTGCTTTTCAATATCCACAGTATTTTCAGTTACTTATCCCGTGAGAAGCAATTCACTCAGTTTATATGACTTACACCTAGAACACAGCAGTATGATGTTTTAATAGTATGACATCAGAAGAAAATGGCTGCTGTACGAATAAGGTCCATTCTAATACCAAACCTTATATGATCACATTTAAAGAATGTACTGTTATTCCATTGGCTAGCCAACAGGCCGGCATTAATTCACGTTTGTTCAAGAGTTCATGCAAAAAGCTAGAGAAACTAACATCCAATGATTACGAAGAAACAGATGGTAGAGTGTGACATTCACATCTATATCTGGCTCTGTGATGAAGAATCACAGCCGTATAATGAGAAAAATAACACCTCACTGACATGATGAGTTTCAGTTTAAGGTGAGACAAGCAAGGGTGGCGGGCCTTTGACAAAGACTGTTAAGCAGCGAGGAAGAGCATGATGACATCTGTTGTGGCTTAGCAGATACGAGCTGAAGTGGTCAGCGACATGAGCTAACATGTCTTCAAAATCCGCTCCATTGTTCGCAGGAATTGATCATTTCCTGGCCAAAGCCCTGACTTCCTGCCTGCTGCTTCCTGTTTGGGGAGACAACCTTGAGCTGAGCTTCCTGTGGCTCTGAAGGATGCCTGTGAATCTGGCAGCTGGTAGATCTATTACAGCCCAGCCAAACTGACCCTCATAACCAGCAAATATCCACGATTAATGAACCAATTAATGGCCTGTCGTCTCTCAGCCAAGTCTAATTATGAGCTGTAATTAAAGGTCAAATATATTCCAAGTGTCAAGAATCAGTGAGCTAATTATTATAGTGTTATTATGCTTCTCTTACATGGTATACTGACTGGAAGTAATTATTGAAAACAACAATTTACATGTCAGACCCCAACTATAGTGCAGTGTGCAGTCACTCTTATGTGTCAGAATATCACATCCTGCCAGCTTTGATTAAAATCAGACTGTTGTGTGTTATGTATAGCACTCAATATATAAACAGTTTCTCTGTGTCCCAGAACAAATCATTACATGAAACTTTGTTGAAATTTTGTCAAATGATGCTCAAAACCAAGTCAAGGTGGCTTATCCTACATTGAGTCTGTTTATTTTTGCAGTAGGAGCTTTGTGTCTTATTTATGTCTTCTCTGCTAGTTTGACCAAAGTAACCTTGCATTTATGCATTTATACAACTGAAACTCATGTAAAACGCACTTCTGCATTCCCTAAAGTGAAACTTTATACGAAAGAGATCTAAAGGTTATGCCCAAGTTAAGGTGTCTGACTGTTAGTCCTCATCCGACCAATCTGAGTAGCATAACTGTAAACCTCAACTAGGTGTGCTTTGCAGCTCCAGACTTCTAGGTACTTCTTTCTAAACAAACTCGTGAATCACCGTCAGTAAACGGTTAAGTCACTGAGAGACAGCTATGTATGGCATGCAGTATCACACCGTGCCTGTTCCTTTTATTCACAGCTGGTTTGGTGTTTTACAGCTATTGTGATACATGTAAACCAGGCTCTAAGGGGCTGGGTTGCAGTAAGACTAAAAACAAAGGATTAAATGGGTTTAGATTAGTTTTTTGGAATTGCTGCGGAGTTGCTGCACCAGTAAAAATTGTAGTCACACTCTTAACATTGCCATTTGAACTTCAACATACACTGAATTGTTGGGGTGGGGGCTGCTGCAGCAAACACTTTAGGCATGACTTTATCAGCGTAATAATAATAGTGTGTATAATAATAGTGTGAGGTGTCGGGTTGTGAAGGTGGTCATAAGATGTCCAGATTCATCAGCTATAAATACACAGTTCCCATAATGTGAGAAAGAACAACTGTAACAGGCTCATGAAATTGGTCTGAAGGATAACAATAATATGGGAGTTAAAAGTACCTTGATGTCTGCAGAAATGCTGATCTCCGGGGGTGTCAGGGTCATGGACGGACACTGTTGTGGGCCTTCACCCATGCTGATCCAGGAACGTGCGAGCAGTCCCTGAGCACACTCCTTTTGGATGGTACATCTGGACAAAGTGACAGACAGATAAATCATATTTGTCATTTCGCAGAAAAAAAACCCCAATAATACAACAGCCGTACATTTTTTCAGTAAAATGTCCTATCCATGTCCGAATCTGATCATCTCACAGATTTGTATGCTTTTCACAATCAGTCATTGGACTACCTGGCCATTATGTGAATGCACCTTAAAGGTAAACCTTATCTTCTCTGTTAGAGAAACACAAACTTTGGTGTTTCTATTTCATTCCTGGACTTGAAGAATTTTCACCATTGGCTTTCATGGTCTGCTTCCCACTGATTTATGAGGTGCTCTTGTCTCCTAATGCCACATTCGGACCTCGGCTGTCAGTTTGTCTGGCGCAACACAAGAGACTTCTTGACTCTAGGTCACGCTCATTGCTATGGCAACCCATCCGGCAGGGGCTGAGGGGGCGGTTACGGATAGTTGAATGAAAATACTACTGATTCTTGATCTGTGTGAGCCACAATGCATTTATGAATGTGTGTTTGTGTGGACACACACCGAGCATAGAGTGTGTGCATGTGCCCATCTGTGAGTATAATGAATGTCTGGGACAGAGGAATTGTAAAAGGGCATTCAACAAGCAAGGTGGCCTTGTACTCTGACTTCTGCTTCACTAATGAACTTCACTGACTGCTGGCACAGAGCTCAGTTCATCTGCAGTGCAGACAGAGAGGACAAAGTGACCTTAGAGTAAGGAGAAACCAAAGAGGCCACATTTAGCATTGTCCTTACACGCGATAATGAGTTTGGCACATCCCACTTCCCTCTCACACTTACATACTGTGGTTGTTTTAAAATAAAGTGTGTGTCTGCGCACCCACTTGCCTCTAAATGTTAGTGTTTGTGTCTGCAGGGTGAATGTCCAGATTCTCAGTCCCACTGGCACTGAGGGACTGAGAGGGGCCATGAGGTCTGAACTAAAAATAGAACAGAGTGTCTCTCTAAGCCCAACAAAAATCCCTAGCTACAAACAAACTCATAAACTTGTGAACACACTCTTAGCAAACTCAACTGCCAGATTTACAACCAATCTGTTTACACTTGAATTTGATAATACTAGTTTAAAAAGTGGGATATTTGAATTTTAAAAAGTTTGTCACATGGCACATCTTGTAAATTATTTATATACTGCTGTCAGTATGACTTAAGAGTTTTAGTAGGTCACCACGTACAATCTTTCTTTGATACCTTTGAGAATAATGTCAGCACCGTCAGTTAGTTGATTTACTAAACAATATGGAATTGACTTTCACAAAAAAGTGATCAGGCGATGCCCAGAGGATGGCTAGGATGGTAAAGCTACAGCATATTAGCTCTTTTTTTTGTTTGAGAAATTAGCATGCTAGTTTAGCAGAGCAGCTTTGCTGAGCTGCTAGCTTAGCTGCAGACTAAGTTAGTAGCTCAGAATGACTAAGCAAGCAGCTGCCACGAAGCTGTAGTTTACATGTTTTCCTTGATAAACAAGTAAGAAATAAAATAAGCCGACCACCTTCTGACCAAATCCAATATAGGCTATGCTAGCTTTTAGTGGTACAATTACTTTTTTGACACTAAAATGTTTTGTTAAAATCACTGCAAATAACACAACTTTGTTGAGAACAGATTAAAAGTGCCATCCTTGTTTACTGGCTATCCAAGATTATCAAGTTAAATCTAATTTATGTTTATAAGCTCCTGTGAGTTTTTGGCTGGTTCTGAAAATGACTGAAATTAATAGGCTATTAATATTTTCAATATATTTTACTGTTCAAAGAAAGCATATGAGAAAAGAACACTACTTATGTACAGGACAAACTCAGGAAAGAGATAAGAGTTTGACCTAATGGACTTGAGCTTGTATAGTGCTTTTCTAGTCTTCTGACTACTCGAAGTGCTTTTAGAGAGCAGGTCACACGTACCAATTCACACCCATTCACACACTGATGGCAGAGGTAGCTAATCACATTCATAAACATTTAAAAGCGGCCGACGAAGCAGTACAAGTTTCTTGCCCATGGACACTGCAGACATGTGGCGGCAGGAGATTGCTATCGAACCCCCAACCGGAAGGTCTTTAAATGTTTTTATGGTTTCCCCTTTAATTGAAATAACAACTTTTGCGAATGCAGCACCTGCCTCTCTACAACGTACTGACTTTCAAATGTTTCAAACAGCTACTTAAAATAACCAGAGCCAACATATGCAGCTAAAATATGCCCTGAGAAAACTCATCACCTCCTAAGTGTCTGCACCTCAGATAAGGTGACAAAGCAGTGAGACTGTTAAGAAGCAGGAGAGCATATGAGCTTCTAACACACACACACACACATACAGTCCTTGTTAGACACGCACATGAAGATAAGCATTATAATTTGTGGATAGTGCAGACTGCACATGATGCATAATTTGATTCAAATAAAGATATTTAAGTGCCTTCTTGTGACATGTGGGAGATTAAACCGGCTCCAGTTAGAAAAGAGTGATCAAGGACTGAGCTTTATCTCTGGCGGAGAAACTAGCCTTCTTTATTTGAGACAACAATAAGCCAACAGACGTGTTCTAGTGCTTTACATGCAGACATGCGGAGCGCCGTCAGATCCATGCTTATAATCAAACAGACACCCACAGAGACAGTGGTGGCCCCACAGATTGTGAGATAGTTCTCCAGTGCTCCTTTTATTTTTTCTCCTCTGTAGTTGTATGAGACAGTGCGGTGATGGAGGAGACCATCCACCCCCACACATCAACCCCCCTGATCCCCAGGGCTGTGAGGCCACAGCGCCTGCCCAGCGGCTGGCATGACTGGCCAAACAGGGCATCACACACACACACACACACACACACGCACACACACACACATGACATCAGCTCCCTGGCCTCCGAGAGCCAGACAGCGACACACACTCATGCTGACACTTACACACAGGCTTACACACTTTGACATTTCACTGTCAAAAGAACCAGTGTGCTTTCTCCCTCCCACTACCATCATCACAATCAACGCTCCTTTGTAGAGAGAGAGAGAGAGGAGGACAAGGGCACTGGGGGAGGAGGAGACGGAGGCTAGTAGTAGACAGAGAGGGATAGCTAAATTCTCAAAGCTACTGGAAAATAAGAGGGCAAGAAAGGAGGGGAATAAAATGAAGACAGAGAGAGAATCACAAGGGTAAAAATAATGCAGTGAAGCGAGAAAGGGACTGGGATAAAGAGCCGACAGATAGATAAATAAGTCGAAGAGACAGGGAGATGACAGCAAGACAGTCTGACCACACATACACACACAGACACACACAAACACACACAAGTCTCATCAGTTCCACTCTTCCAGCTCTGAATGGCCCCTGGCAATGCCAGAGCCTCCAGAGCTGCAGCTCAACTCATCACAAAATTCACTATCTCGTCAGATCTGTTTTAATCACCAAGCAACCAACCGACTGACACACACACATAGACACAGAGACACAAACAAACACAACTTGACACCACACATATTCTTCCAAAAAGCCAGTGAACACAGCGCCAGAGAGCCGGTCCTGACAGAACCACATTAATCACAGCGTATTCTGTCTCGCTTGCAGCAACACTTCAGCCAATTCACTCCTCTGCCGGGCGCTCCTGGCCTGTTACCCCCTCCCAAAACTATCGCAGAGAAGCAGGGGACCTCTCTGAACAATGATGTAGCTCCCCGATCGGAGACCTAATGAAAAGCAAATCAACTCTCACTCGATCCAACAGCAGCCTTCCAGCCACCGAAAACTCACTCTGTTACTGCCAAGACTCATCCATCTGAGAGATGTTTTGAAATCGAGTAAGAGGATGATGAAAACCAGTGTATGAGTCTCAGTGGTTTTATTGATTCAAAGGCTTAAAACGACAAGCTCGAATCATTTTGTTGAGCCATCAATCTTTTCTTTCAAAGCTTCAAAATGAGCATTAATTTCTATCAATCATTCAAATAAAGAGCTGCAGCTGGATCGATGCTGAAATAGAGATGGTGGACAATCCCGCATTTTGTCAACAGATCACGTCAAAAAGCATGTAGCATGTGCCTGAAACCACAGGATATGATCGTTTCTTTGAATTATTTGTTTTACCAGTAATAGAGGAAAGCTGAGAGAGGGGGACGACTCTGAGGAAGACAATTAACTGGAAAGATGGAAAACCAATAGGCAGATTACCAATTAATTAACAGTGGCTGATTATATGTGTGTTTGTGTGTGTGTGTGTGTGTGTGTGTGTGTGTGTGTGTGTGTGTGTGTGTGTGTGTGTGTGTGTGTGTGTGTGTCTGTGTGTGTGTGCACGTGTGTGGTGTGTGTGTATGTGTGTGTGTGTGTGTGTATTCGTGTGTCTCACCGATTCTCCAGAGTGCACCAGCCACAGTGGGCGTCGCCTGCTCCCAAACAGTCACCGCAGTCCCTCCACTGGTCACACTCTGCCACCTTTACCCTGAGCATCTGCAGGTCACGGCACATATATAAAACAAAAGGCAAGAAAAAGACATTTAAGAATAAAGTTGTAACATGATGAGCGTTTTCAGAAATGTTAGATTTTAAATAATTAATTAATTAAATCATTCAAATCTGAAAGGTTTCAGACCTGTAGATAACTGTGTAACAATTGAATCTGGCCCTTGCTCTTTGGCATTCATAAGTGTGATATATAAAGTTAACACAAGGATTTTAGATCATTGATATCAAGAGATTTATGCACTAACCACATTTGTACATTGAAAGATTTCAATAAGAGTTTTTAGCTGTTCATGAAACAGACTTAAGATCATCAGCCACACTGCGTCCTGATTTTTTCTTTATAGTTATTTGAAATGCCACCAGGTAGGTGTCAGAAGAGTCGATTAACAGCTTTTGTGTACATTTTTTGCGCACACAATGTATCGTGAGTGATATTTTTGGCTAAAGAAAACAGGATGAGGTATTTTATCAGAAAACACTACTTACAAACACAAAATCAGAGAGAGATAGCACATGCTACTTTGACTGCAGTGTTTGTCATCAACTATGACATTACCTGTGTGTCACATTGTCCCTCATCATCAATGAATTACAGACTTGAAATTACATGAAAGTGTATTGTAAACTGTGTTAGTGATTTTGGTGTGTAGCTGTTGTAATCTCAGTATTGCACAGCTGTGATTATCTTCAGCGCTAGGTCTACTACCTCCTTGTTGACGGAGTCGCAGTAGTTTGATGGTGATACAGCTCTTGGGATATAAGTGGTTTTTTTATCATTTCAATGTTTATATGTTGTTTTGCTGCAAAAATCTTTTTTTAATTCATTTTTTATTCTGTAGTTTTGAATACTATCCTGATTTAAACTTAACGTGAAAACATACAAAAATTATGATAATAAAAGCGTATTGTAAACAATTAATTTCATTTTAATATTGTGCTTAAAGATCAAATGCTATCACAGCAGACAGTCAAGTGTATTTTGCACTGAACAACAGAGCTGCTGAATTGCCCAACCACATCCTGTCATCAGCACCACAGTTATAAAACATTTCAGTTTCATATCGCAGCAGTAACACGTATTAAAGGTGTCACATATACGTGAGTGTTCAGCTAAATTCAGGTGAGTATAGGAGTCACCGGATGTGAAATGCAGTCAGATTGATGACATGAATAAATCATTGACAGAGCTTGACGGAGAATAGACAGACAGAGGCTGGAGTGGCATTCTTACATGGTGAGAGGTCATGAGATACAGGAAGTTTCTGTCGCTGGGATCGAAGGTCATGATGTGGTGGACGGCCTCACCGCCTCGCAGCTTCAGCGTCCACTGATTGGCCAAGGTCATGTTCGCAAAGAGGGTCAGCTGTGGGAGAGACATCAGAGAAAAGATGGATCAGGTGCAGAATGAGGCGATCTATATTTCCTCAAGGTTTCCTCAATATATTGCCCACATTGATACAAAAGAAATCCTGAAAAACGCTTAAGTTTCTCAATGAAAATTGTGTTTTTTTCGTTGATCAGGCAGCTCAGTTGGTGCATATTCAGGGCCAGACATTTTGCTCTGCAACACTTCAGAAGGAGCAGCTTTTTTATTCACTTCCTTCACCCGTATTTGGCAGCGGCTTCGCGCCAGCAATCCACATCATGATCACTGCTGGAACTTGGAGCCGACTTCAACAGAGCAGTAAGGTGTTTCAGAAAGATAAATATATTCTTAAATATGGAAACTTCGCTCCCTCTAAACCTGACTCAAGACAGCAACAAAAACTCTCACTTTTATTGAAATAAATGTATGGATGCATAACCAAAGGCTGCTAGATGTCTGAGGACTAATGTATTTATATATTATAAGTACATGTTATTCCTTTAAAATATTTATGTCACACCCTGAAATATAGTTTAGGAGATATTTTGTTACACTGTTTTGCCTAATCTTGTGTCTTCAAGCACTGATTTATCTACACCCTGGCCCTCCTATAGCTAAAGATAATACAGCGACGACCTATTCTCATGTAGGTACGAACAAACACACATATTCACAAACACACTGATCTGCATGGGAAAACAAGCTCTGCTAAGTGTGTGACACTTCCTGTCACGCAGACACTGAAAGCTCTTATATGTGGGCTTTTTTTTTCCAAGCCTGCTTTCATTGAAGACATCCTGCCATCATGAGGAACTGGCCAACTAACCAGCATCTGGTCACAAGCTCGAGCAGTGTCACTTCTCCATCCGCTAAACACACAAACACCCTCTCTCATACACACACACACACACACACACACACACACACACACACACACACACACACACTTAAACCATCACCACCCACTGAGACGTGCTGGTTAATGTTAAACCAAAGCAGACAGAAGCTTAGTAAACCATTGGCTTAACCAGTGATGAGAGGCATTATCTCTTCCTACAAATATCACTGCTGTTTTTATAACACCACCCACCCATCTACACACACACACACACACACTCTTATTCCTTGGAGATAGTAAAGCAGCTGTGCTATGTCTTCACCCCCCTACCCCAGCGACTACAAACACTCACGTGACGCAGTGAGGAGCGAGTAAACAGCAGCCCACACACCTGGACAGGGAGCAGAATAGGAGCAGAGAGGAGGAGAAATAAGGAGAGCTGCACCACCAGGTCACCAAACAAAACACCTGCTGTACTGGCAGGTCGCTCTGACTCCGTTCTCTGTCTATCTGCCTGCAGATGAAAGAGCCTATTCAACCACCGAGTGCTCAGCTGCTGTGCGTCCATTCTCTCCCTCTATGTGTGTGCGTGTGTGTGTTTGTGTGCTGTACCTGGCTGCTAGGGAGAGAGAATAAAGACAGATGGACAGAGGTGGGGCAGGCGAGGAAGAATAAAAAGAGAGAGGGAAAGAGATAAAGTCTGTTTGTTTGCAAAAATGAATCAAAGGGCCTTTTATATCCAACCGAGGGGAGACAATGGAACGATGAAATGGGAAGTGGAGGGGTGGATGGACTAAGGGAGTAGAATTGGACGAGAGTGAGTGAGATAAAGTGCGGACACTGCGAGAGGGAGCAGAAAATGGAAGTCAGCTGTAATAGGGAGGGAGAGACTTCATTAAAAATTGCATGTAATTACAAATTACTTCACTGAGGGCCCTCTCCAAGACGGTAACAGAGGCCTAACTTAATCTCAACCACTGTTCCCCTGTGTTTAGTCTGAGCCAAACTCACAGTCAGAATCACATTACACACACTAACAGCACCATTAACCTCTGTAACAGCTCTATCCTCGGGGCACACACACACACACACACACACACACACACACACACAGACTCAGCCACACACACACACACAAACATGCACAAACACTAAAAGGTACAAAAAGCTAAAAAGCACAAACTTAGTTGTCGCCCAAGGTCACTGAGATAACAGGCACCCTGTATAACAAGGTTGACACACAAGCTGCAAGGACACACATATAGCACATAATCACAGGGTTCGTCTGGGTAAACACATGAAATCACCAAATCACTCTCGCTGGCTTGCAGACAAAGTCAAACACCTAAAAAACACAGTGAAACCTGCAATCACATGCACAGACTTACACAGACACACTCATGTACACAGTTGCTTACACTATCCCAACCGACGTTTTGCTCCCGCTATCAAAATAACTATTACTGCACGCTCAGCAGTGGCTAATATAAGGCCTTCATCTGGGGCTTAAACAAGGAGAGGGCACGAAGGTAGCACACCTCCAGCAGGATGGTGTAAATGTAGTAAAAGGTAGAAACCGCCTGATGTAAAACAATAGAGTCAGTTTTTTGTTTTTTTGGCACACAGCTGATGAGCAGCTTGTGGCGCTCGCAGGCAGAGCTGCTGCTTAGCCAGCTCAGTCAGGGGTGACTGGGAATGAGGCTGAGACAGAATTAAGGAATGCTCCTAATTGGACGGGAAAGGTTTTCACAAGCCGGACCCTCTGCAGATGTCGTATAGACCCAACACACGGCAGGACTGAGTCATGTGTCGTCAACCTGTGCAGTTAAACAGCTTTCTGGTGATCAGTCAGGCCGTAAGCAGGTCTGAGGAACATTAGAGCACATGATTAGGACGACTTAATGGGCCATGATGGGTCACTGATGAACTGGGGGGTGACAGTGCTGAGAGCATACCAGATGAAAGCAGACATTATGTTTACGTCGCCCAGATTCTTAGTATTTCAACACATAAACTTGTATTTGGTTTATTAAAAGACTCGGCAGCCACATCAGAGAAGTACTTTGTAGCTGTTGCTGTTATAGTTTTTTCCAGGCTTAAGGGCTCAATCACATAAAAAAAAAAAAAAAAAAAAAAAAAAAAGAAAAAAAAAAGCGCCATTTAATGGTAAATTATGACTTCTGAGGTAAAGGGGCGTGTCAAAATATGTGCACACACATGTCCTAATATCAATTTATCATTTCTGACTCAAATGATCCAAACATTGTTAAAGCTACTGGAAGATTTGTTTTATGTATTTTTTGTTTATGTATTTTTTTCTTGCCTTTATTGAGAGATGGGACCGTGGATGGAGTCGGAAAAGGGGAAGGGTGAGAGGGGGACTGACATGCAGAAAAGTGCCAAGAGTTGGATTTGGACCCGGGCTTCAAATCGTCCTGAGCTTGTTACACATGTCCCTCACAATGGGTTAGTGTTAGAGTGGCAAGCTACAGTATGATGTGAAAAGAAGGGAAAAGATGGCGGACAAGCAACTGAGTCCAACGCTATTATTACAGTTTTTGCCTTTATAACAATGTTGCGTGTAATCTACGGTATTAGACAAAAGAGCGGAGAAGAACAAACTGGCGAAACACGATGAAGCTGCTTCTTTACATATATGAAGATCACATAGGTCACACACTGGTTGCAGGACATAAATGTCATCACCCACACCCAATCACTTGCAATAAATGTTCCTAAATATTACCTCACCGCTGAAGATTTATGGGGGCCTGACAGGAAACAGTCTCTATAAAGTCTGGGTAAAAAAATGTGCCCGTTTGTGTTCACACATGCAGCTCATGCATCCAGAATATTTCTAGAGATTTGTGCACGATGGAATAGGGATCAACATATTTACAGGACTTATCTGCAAAGAGATAAGACATGATGCTTTGTCTACAGCTGTTACTAAAAATGACAGAAACAAGGGATTATACTGATGGTTCATTTCTGTGTATATATTTGTTTTATTTCAGGAATAATACAACAATGTGGCCACATAAAAAAAAAAAAACCTTACAGGGTTATTTTTTACAAGATTCAAGAAGATGTATCACTTAAAGTATCAACATCATAAACTGTGCTTCCTATTGCTATACACAGTCTAATTCGATTCCACCTTATTAGGCAGATAGCCAATCATGGTGGATTTTTGAATGTTTGATGTGTTTGTATATGCAGGTACTCTTTTGTGTCTCACCTTACGAAGTCGTCCGTTACTGGTTCCCAGAAACACCACAGTGTGGTTTTGTACGTAGTCCACAGAGACCGAAGTCAGACCTGGGTATTCAACCAGAGGAATAGCCCTTAGAGACCTCCGTAGAGCCAGAGGGTGCTGTAGGTGGGCCGCGCCGCAGTCTAGCTGCTCAGGCTGGAGCTGGAACAGACAGAACAAGGGAGAGATCAATGCTCATCATCAGCTCTCATATGGAAGCAGTACGTACCGATTAGAGGACGGGAAAGAACAGAGAGCGTGGTGTGATGAAAGCAAAAGTCAAAAACAAGACCTGATAGAAGATATCACAATGACGCTGCTCATTCTTCCAAATCACTTTTTAGACATCTCAGAGAACACTTGAAAGGGGCTTACAAGGGTCGTCAACACTCATAAGGCTCTGCTTTTGTCAAAACCTCAGCGGGCAATGATAAAACATTAGCGCCACGCTTGGATGAGCACCAGGACCTATCGGGAATTCTCTGCATATTTTAGAGCATGCACAGGCGAAAAGAAAAAAAAAAGAAGAAGAATTAAGCACAGTGGATATTTGTAGTCTTTTTCCCACGGGCCCTTCTGCTCACGGCCTCATCTCTCTTATCATAAATTGTGTCTGGCTCTCCCTCAGTGCTGGCCTTCAGACTGTCGACTACAAACAAGATCACATTTCAGCAACTATGGCAACACAAAATGCAAAACTTAACAAAGACTAACTTTATTCTGTGAGTGGTAAGTAGATTGTGTTACAGGGAGAGGAGCACTTTGAGCTGAGCGGTTGTCTAGCTCAATTGAGATAGTATTCAGAAAACTAGTCACGGGAGGAGTGGCCCCAGGGCCACAGACGACATGACAGTGCCAGGGAGGAGGGCAACTCTCTGACCTGACAGCACAGCAGCCGCGGGACAGCCTCCTTTGACCCCCTCCCTGTCAGTCAAAGGCACCACCATGAAAAGCAGGAATTTCACTGCATTCCTGTGAAATTGTGCAAAGCTTTCTATTCGTTGATTATCACACACTATTACCACAGGGGTGCTGGGCAGATAAAGTGTGCAATGCTTGAGTTTCCTTAAGGGCAAATATTTAGTTTTGGTATGTGAGAGGGGGGCAGATAATACAAGAATATCTGGCCATGCATTTATGACAGAAGCACTATTTATTCACTATAACGTGTTTAATGTGCGGTTGAGAGTTATAGTTAGCAGCAAACGGTCAATAAAAAGACATGCTCTGATGAAAGCAACAGTAAACTATTGACCCCGTCCTCTCTTCATATCTGACGAGACAGAGAGCTGCTGCTGGGTGTGAGACGAGTCTCACCCTTCCCATAACCCCCCGGCGTGGCTCTTATGCATCTTTCCAGCTATCATGACCTTTACCCGTGACATGGGTTAGACCCCCTTTCCAAGTCATGAGCCTCTTGGCTAAAGAGGATAAATGCTGTAAGCAAAACATAGGAGCTTTGAGAGATACAGCAGTCACGAGTGTGTTTGTCTTACTTTGTAGGGTCCGATGAACTGTGAGTGCCACAGATCTCATAAATCTGAATCATTGATGTATTTCATGAGCCTTACAGGGAAACTCATGGTAGCAGAAATAATGGGACACAATCTGCAGTTTTCATCATCCCCAGGCTTCATCTCTAACCAAAGATCTCTATGTACAGATCATAGAACATAACACATCAACCAATAAAGCAGTTAATTTGTGTTTCATTCTTTAAGATTCAAATGGTGATATTGATTATTATTTCTTGTTGAGAATGTGATAATTGTTTATGCCCCATTCAAATTCAGACACTTATTTAAAGCAAACTTGTTTCAAGTGGAACCATAAATGAATTACTTCCCATTTATTACAGTAAATTATACTTTAAGATCCTGTAACTAGACAAAATTGACATTTATGCAGAACAAACTTGCAAAAATCGAGTTAAATTAAACTAATTTATAATATTCATCAAGCTTAATGAAAATAATCTATCAGGCCTCACCACTAGATTTCCCTTGTGAATGCAGATGGCCCCGGAGCCCTGAATGACGCTGTCCAGCACCTGCACATCACTGCTGGGGGAGCTGGGGGAGCTGGAGCAGTTCCTGCGGCCTTGCCGGATCTCTTCTTCAATATCTCCAAACTTGAATGCACACAGAGCAGACTTTCTGTCCGCCTTGGAAAACACCCCAAACAGGTAGGGCTCCGAGCCCCTCCCGTCATCTGTCTGGATGTCCACGGGGTAAACAGACAGCAGCCGGTTGTAAATGTTCCCGTTAAATCCACACTGTAAGGGCATCTGGATGTAGGACTCGGTAAGCTTCCTGCTCTCAGGCCCGGTGGGTTTTCGGGGGTTCTCGTTATCCAGACAGATCCTGGCGAGGATGCTGTTGGGCAGACTCTCCTTGTGGCCCATTTTGGCATCATTATTAAAGGCGATGTAAGAGTACGTCTTTTGAATAAAAGCGTGCACGAAGTTCAGCTTGTTTTTGGTTTTAACCTCCTGTTTGATCTTGAACACGTTATCCTCTGAAGGGTTAATGTCATAGGTGAAAAGTCTTGATAAATCCTTGATGTTAGGGAGCGGATGGCGATCTCCGGGGTGTTTTCAAAGCGCAGGTCCTCCTTGCTGTGGTTCTTGGGGAAAAACTGGGTGCCAGCCCCTGTGTAAGTGGCCCCGACCAGCAGCCGGGTGTTTCCCCCGTGGCTTTTGAAGATGAGACCCACTGTGGATGCGTTTGGGTGATTGGCAGCAATATTGAGCATGCTTGGGAAAACAGTCTTCTCGCCCTGGGGTGGGAACTCCACTGCTATCTCAGAAATATTGTCAATTTTCCGAAGCTCACAGAAGCCTTGGTACACAGATCCGCACACCAACACGACACCCTGCTCCCGGTCCAGCTTCAGCAGCTTGTTGTAGTTGTCGGTGAGGGATTTGGGATGCTCGCACGGAGCCTGGGGCAGCTGTGGCGCATGGCACAACAGGTTGTCTTCCACCGGCCCGGTCCTCTTCTCCACCTCTATGCTCAAGGTCCCATTCAGCTGATAGACCGTATTGACGGTGGCCAGGTAGACCTTTCTGGAAACAGGGTCCACCACAAAGTTATTGGTCTGGTTTGGAGACGCGAACGCTTGTTGGATGTGTAGCGCGCTCGCACTCCGGCGCGTCTCCAAAGTCAGGACGCCGAGGAGCAGAACAGCTATCTCCACTGAAGGAGGCATTTTTCCTTCTGACCGGCTTCCGCGTGTTCTGTGCCGAGGGGTGCATTGAGCAAAGACAAAAATGTGTGTTTGTTCCTACTGCGACAATCCGAGAGGAAAGGCTGTTTCCTGCTCAACGCCTAAACCCAGAATGACGCGATAAGCGAGTCGTGCTTCCTTTCCTGGCTGCCTCCTCTGTCTCTCTCTGCCCACTGTGCAGCTCAGCAGCCTCTCTCAGCCACACTGAGCCACAGAAACTCGTTCAGGTTGTTTTTTGACATTTACACACACAAAAAAAAAAAAAGACTATTTAGTAGGCTACATTTTTTTTTTCATTTGTTAATTTCTGGACAATGTCACGCCTACAGATGACCCACTTTAATATGAGTCATGATTTAGTCCGGCTTACTCAAGCATTCATTCATAAATAAAACATTACTAAAGTACACATATAAGTACAGTGTGGATTGTACTGGGGACAGAGGCATTCGCACACCAACTAAAAAATGGCCACCTCCCAACAAAACGCATTATCTGCTGTGACTGATCCTCGCAAAAGTATTATGTATAGCACAAATAAGCCTATCCTATACAATGTGTAATTCTTTTGAGCTAAAATAGCAGGTCATTTGTTCTCAGCAAACTACATGACCACAAACTAGGTCTGATATTCGGCTATTTTAAGAATGAATTGATTTAAGTTGTAATGTGAGCTCATACGACCATCAACTGTTCCTTTCAAGTATGGACCATATGATGAATCTCCGCCCCTGCGTGGTTCCGCTCATCTTAGGGTTAATGACGGGTCACCGTCCCACCTCCTGTGCTCCCCAGTCCCCTGGCTTTCAGATTAGTTCTGCAGATCCTAAGGGTTCCGTTTTGGGCGCATACGGCACGGTAAGCACCGTGAAAGTGCTACCAGATGGGCACATCAGCACACCTTTCCGGGCTTTGACATTCACATCTATCCCACATAGCTTTCTTGCGCGCTTGCCTCATAAATATTCAGGCGCAACACATGCGCCCCGACTAAAAAATGCACGAATATGGTTAGCATTTTTTGTCTATGGATGGTGTGTGCATATGCTCACATCTCTGAATAGAAATGAATGATCCCTTGCAATGTCAGACACTGCATAAATCAGTTTGCAGGCGCACCCGAGAAGTGTTATCTGAATACATGCAATAATTAAAGTTGATGCCAAATCGTGCGGAATCGCTTCTGCCTATTTACTGTGGACTCCTTTGGGGACAGACTCACTCTCTCCTCTCTAGGCTCCCTCCGACACCACTCGCAGCTTTCAGTGGGGCAGATAAGTGCGCTCCGTGTTTACCTTGGCGCACGGCCATGCGCATCAAATCTGGCAGCGTGAAAAAGAAGGAAAGCGCTCTGATAAAGTGCAATATAATGACCCCAACTACACGACACAATGAAGGAGTCACCGACAGCCTCAAACACTGAGTGTGCGCGCGAACCCGAGCCTCAGCAGGCAGTGACGGGAAGTAGCCTACATGAGGTCCAGCAGGGATAAAAACTTAGTGAGGATCAGAAATGTCAGCATCAGATATCACCACTGATGTGTGACTGACTGCCGAGGTTTGCTACTGCTCAATCAAACACAAAAACTGCTGAATGAAAGTTCATGAATATGTGTGCGTAACTGAGAAAGAGAGTGTATGGCAGAATAAAGTTGGGGAGACGTGGACTATCCTGTGTCCCCCTATCCCCCCCCCCTCCCCCCTTTAGCCGTAAGGTTGCGGTTAAAGGGGCCTTCCATCCAGCTTGTTTCCTTCCTGATAAGGAATGACACCTCCTAGTGTTCAGAACCCCAACTCTCTTATAGCAGTCCATTCACACAACCCAAACACAGCCTATGGCAGCCACGGAAAGTAGCACACCCCAATGACATTCAAGGCAAAATATCTCCATCTAGTGGTCATATGATGAACATGCAAGACACGAAAAATAGACATAAACCCCAGAACATACAGACATACATCTTTAGGAAAAAGGTTAAATGAAGGGGATGGCTCAAGGGTAAGTCAGGAATGCACTTTATTTATCCCACACTTAGAAAATGACATTAGAAGGCACTGGAGTGGTTTAGCACACAACCCTACATCATTGGTGTTACAGCAAGGTCAGGCTGAGGTCAAAGGTCAGCCCACTCTAAAAACATTTTTTGTAATAATTAAATCTACTCATTTTTTAGAATGCATGTTCAACTTAAGATAAATCATGTTTTTTTAACATAAAAATGAACTAACTGTTGGGATCTATCTTAAGACAACCAGAGGTTCCACTATTCATAACCAGAATAAACTCTTCTTATTGCACTGACTACTGTCCCAAGATTGACAACCTTTGTAGTCTCAATCAAAGGTTTCTCTAGCCTCAGCCTGACCTTTGTGTTATCTAGCCATGTGCTAAAGTGCAGCTGTACAGTTCAATTGATCTCACCACAAGTTAGGAAATCAGTCTCTCAGCTTGAAAAATGCATGATGAACTGTGAAATGTGCTAGGTCATCTTGTTGTGTCCATGACGAGATGAGATAAAAAGAGAGAGACAGATAGATATTTTAAGAAAGACCGGATGCTGAGCCAGGGAACTGTACTTGAGGGGCCAAGGTGCAGAGACACTGATGTGGAGTCAACTTCATTTTCACATTGTGGATTTTCGACTAGATTTTCCCTTGGAAAAGTTAGTCCATCTAAAAAAAAAAAAAAAAAAAGGACACATCCTTGACATCCAGGCAAGACATTCATGACATATTGGTTAAAAGCAAAATCTGGACCTTGGACCCTTTGGGTGCTCAGGCATCCCTTGGTAGACTAAGGTTTGGCACTGAGTGATTACACCATGGGATAGTGTATCTATAGAAAAGAAAGGACAGCTATAGAGATTGTTTGCAGGGAGAAAGTCTGATGTGGAGTATCGCATATAGGCAGTGTGCATTTAAACAGTATGGCAGTGGAGACGAGTAGCACTGTAGATATGAAGCAGCAGAACTCCTAATCCAACTGAGAGGAGCTGGATGAGCACCAGAGTTCTCTCCCTACTAACCAGATCTCATCAAATATAGCAAGGGGGCGATTATCCTGACAAATTGATCTTACTTGGACAACAGCCTTTTGTGTTTGCTTTTAAAGCAGAGTCAGTTTCTGTGTCATTTTCTAAATAAATTACATGCAACATTGTTGGCAGATGCTTAGGAGCAACCAGATGTTTTCTGTGTGTTTATATGGTGTGCAACACCCATTGTGTCTTTGCATTTCACAGATAATTCTCCCAGACTCAACAAAATTGTTTCTTTTTTAACTCAAAGAGAAATAATTAGAAGCATGTGAACTTTTCTATTAGAAATTGTAAGGAAGCGCAAAAACTCTCAAGCCGTCTTGACACACACAAAGGTCATGACCAGTCCTTCAAAATGTTCCGTCTGAAAACGTTTCATCACAGCAAAATAAAAAATAAAAAGGCTCATGGTGCGCTCCACTTGATCTCCATTTGGAAGTCGGAATTCAGAGAGTTGCCAGTCAGACAGTCATCAGGAAGGCTTTCTGAAGCTGGAACTCTGACTCGGAATCGCAGAGGAACTTCAGTAGTCGTGTTTAAAATCACACATGGCTGCTCCGTGCATTAACAGTAAAGTTAAGCTGTACATTAAAGTCTTTATTAGCAGCATAGTCTTGTTTTGTGGAATAAAATCATCGTGCAAGTTCAATCGGTGGACATGTTGTCATGTTGCTTTCACACGCAAATGATAACGTAGTGTGTTGTTATCGCCTGGATTTAGCAAACACAACAGAGGTACTCCTGGCGGCGTCCACGTTGATGTCCAACTTGGCTCCTGAACGTGCACAACTCGGGTGTGACGTCATTCCAGCTCCGACATTCGAGGTAAATGGAACACACCATTTACTCTTGGAAGTTTTCGGCCATAGTTCAAATCTACCAATCACAGCTAGGTAAAACTTCTCTTCCTAAAAGGCAATCAACCACACGATCACGTTTTCATGTTTCTAAGATTAGAATGGGCCTTTACAAGGAAGCCAACCCAGTTTCCTGACTAGTCTCCCCTCCCTGTCGAGTGAGAGGAGCTTAATGCTACATGGTACTGAATAAAATAACATTACAAATAAAAATAATATTATTAGCAATAATAACATTATAATTGATTAAACTCTAAAGATAAAAGATAAAAACAGTACAATGCTGCATTTTTTTGAGGTGTAGCAACACTACAGTTCATTTTCAAAAAAGGTAAACAGGCTTGTCCTTCCTAAACAGCGATCATTCTCAACTTCACTCTGCGTCTCAGCGTTCCAGAGTGTCCGAATGTGCTCAGCCCAGTTTTCAGCGCAGTGCCACACGGCCATCCTACAGGAAACCGCGTTCCTCAAACTTCCTGCATTACTGCAGCTACAGTTACAACACATGGTGGTCATCAGAGCAAAAAATGCTGCCAGGAATCTAGTCATCCTGGAGGCTGCAGGGCACGGTGTGTGTACCCTGAGAGAGCGTCCCAGTTTCTCCACAAAAAAGCCAGCAGGAGGATGAGGAGGAGAGTGGAGATCGATCGCGAGCGTGTCTTCATCAGGGGCACCACACAGTTGGCCACAGTTGAGACAAAGACCAGAAGGACGGCCATAAGGGCCAGCAGCACATTGATAAGTTTTCCCAGGATGGTCTTGGCCGTGGCATTTTCCAGCCCCTCCAACTGGACGACCTGCTGTTGCTGCTGCTGGAGCTCCATCTTAGAAATCCTGGTCTGACAGGCCTCCAACGACTCCTGCAGAGGACACACAGGCGAGGACAAAAATCTCTTAGAAAAGTCACCTTCCTTAAGTAGAAACAAGAAAACATTCACAAGAGTTCAACCACAACATATGACACACTTCTTATTGCTTTCGGTCTTTGGTTCTGTTTTTATACCCTGCACTTCTCGTGTTTGTAAATGGTGGTGGGCACAACATTCAAACACCTCTTGGCATATTGCATTTCAGTTCAATACCACTGCAAGACATTTTAAGAATAAACAAAGGGTTGAAAAAATAAGTCTCTTTAAGTCTAGATTTCAGTGTTCCAGTGTCAAATGACTGTTTTTTTGTTTTAGACCTGTACTGCCCCCTACTGCAAGAATAAAGAAAGGCAGCCAAGGGATAACCTCAGCTGTAAATACAGTACATTTCATGATAGCAAAAATACATGACATAAACACAGACACCTTAACCCTAAACAAACAACAGCGAAGGCCAAGAGTATTGTGAGTCTTTAACAAGGAGATGCAAATGTTGGCAGATGGGCAGACTGGCTTTTCTGCCTCATCT